TCAAGGAGAGGCAAGGCTCTGGTTGAGCAGCACTGTTGCAGCTGTTGCTCCCAGCGGCCGGCGACTGTTGCACCATCCGCAAGGCCATCTCGGCGTACACTTGTCCTGGAAAGCGCGATACATTGGAGAGAGTTGATTGCTTGCTCACGCATAGGACCTCGGCACAGACCAGCAACAGCTGGGCACCAAGTTCGCGAAGCGCGCTGGGCGCGTCTCGTAATAGCAGGACGAGGTCGTCCACAGGAGCCGCAGAAGTTGGTGACAGCTGGACTGCCTCTGCCAAAGCATCCCGTGCCGAAGGAATTAAGTCGCAGAGGATGAGAGCCGCCGCGTTTGCACCTTTCGTGCAAAGTGTGGTGCGAATGGAGGTGGCCGCGTGCGACATCAGCAGGAGTGCGAGGATGCTTGGTGGCTGGGCAGATGCAACGAGGATCTCTTGAACAGGCAGTGCCAAAGCCGCTGCACCGTACAAACCGAAGGACGCATAGGCAGCAGCAAGACGCAACTGGAGATCAACTGAAGGAGAAAGCGATAATGCAATCTTCAGCACTCTGACTTGCAGTTGCTTTTGCCCTTCCAGCGCCAGTTTCTCTGCGACACGAACCAACGGCGCGACGTGAGCTGGCTTTAGAGCCGCGACTTGCACGGGTCGCGGTTCCAATTTCATGCGAACCGCGGGATACTCTGACCAACTCTGAACCAGCGCCTCAAAGCCGCCGATTGTTTTTGCCAGGAGGTGCACATTGGCTGCAACTCGCGCAAATGCCGTCACACGCTCTTCAACCAGCTGGAGAGCTGCTGCGGGCTCAACGAGGGGCAGGCTGGCTGCCTGAAGAAGACAGCTGATGCCGGGTTGGCTCAATCGAACGGCGCGGTCTGAGCAATGTCGAAGGGCACATTTCGTCATGGCATAGACCAACTTGTCGAGCGCAGGATCGGCCGGTGTTTGTTGTCGAAGTTGGAGGAAGACTTGAGTGTCGTGCACGACGCTGCTGAGCTCCGTCAGTTGCATGACATTGCTCAGAGCCGCACCGTCGTCATTCATGACGCCAATACAGGTGATCTTGATGACTAGAAAGCGCATGTGCATGCTTGCTGCAAACTGGTCTAACGGAAGCGCGGCAATCAGTTCCAGCCCCAAGGTGCTCTCTCGTAATCGCTGCAGTTGCAATGACAAATTGTATGCGCTCACGGGGAGTGTCTTTGTCGTTGCTGGCTGCCGTTGCAAGGCCGAGACTGCGAGCTGTGTGAGTGATTTGATGGTGTCCTTGGTGGCGGCGTCAAGACCAGCGAGCGCTTCGCTTGGAAGGCTGCCGTGGCACTTTGGTGGAGATGCGGCGTCTTGCAGGCTGTGGTAGCATCAACGATGTATTTGAGCAGCGTCAAAGGCAGGTTGGACTGCTTTTCTTGCTGCTGCTGCTGCTGCTGCTCTTGCTGCTGCTGCTGAGGAAGGAAGGGTCGAGTGCGCTGAATGAGATCCGTCAGTTCAGCACGAGTGACAGTCCGACTGCTTGCACAGTTTGTCCACGCAGTTTCCAACTCTGCTGGATTATCTCCAGTGGTTGCATCGGCAATATTCACAATCGAAGCGGTGGACTTGCTTGTCTTCCCGCCAGTTGTTTGGCTCTTGGTCTGCTTGGTTGTCGTCGGTACAACATTTGCCACGGATGAGTTTTCCTGAGCTCGCTTGCTCACGGCTGTTCCGACCATCGTACTGCACGAATAGCAACCGAGTTGTGAATTTTAATGTGTCAAACTCGCGTGTCTCTGAGTAATCTGTCTCGAATGCATTGGAGTAAGATGAGTGTTCAAGATGGACGCGATTTCCTCGCTCTCTCTTTTCAGGGGAGACTAATAGCTCAATATGCCAATGATGAACCATGAAGTGCATCTCAAAACACGCATCTCTCACTCTGACTCGCGACTGAAGGATTTCGCAGCAAGTACGTTAACAAAAAAAAAAAAAAAAAATCCAGCCCAAAGTCTCAAAGTCTGAAACCGTTTCAAACAAAAACCGACTCTTTGAAACATTGCTTGATTTTTTCTCTCTCTCTCGTTGCCTGTTCATCTGCCGTTCTGCCGCTCGTGCACTCATCCATGCATCTGTTGCAGTGCTTGGTTGGGGTTTGCACTCTGCTGCACTGGATTGCTGGAGGAGGGCAGAGATGAGGAGACGCGCTCGCTTTGTTGCGTTTTGCCTTCAAACGAAATCCGCTTTCGACTCCTGTTTTCGTGTCTCCAACTCCTATCCACCCCCCCTGAGCCCCCACACAACACGATCAAATGCACTACGTCGCTTCACAGTCGCCTCCTATTGGAAATGGCGACGGTTCTCCAAGTCTATGAAGAAGACAATCTCCAATGCAATGCAACGGTTTTTGGCTGTCGTTCAATCTCAATGCCTCACTGTAATGATAAATCTGACTGAGCCTCCCTCCATGCATTCATTCACTGCACTTTGATTCTGTTAGATATTCAACCCACTACCAAAATCCATCCACCGGTACGATCAACTGTTGACTACCAAAATCCATCCACCGGTACGATCAACTGTTGATCATCGGGAGAGTCAACCAACCATCTCCATTGACCTCTCTCTCTCTCTCTCTCTCTCTCTCACTTCCACTTTTGAGCTCGCTTTACTCCTTTCGTTTCTTCACTCTTTCATTTTTGTTCTTTCTCCTATTCTGTTTTGCGTCCAGCACTTTCCCCCTACCCGCCAAATGCTTGTGCCGCTGATATCATCCACCACTGCCGCTGCTGCTGCTGAAGGTCAGACCTCTCCCCCGTCCTCCGATCTCCCATGCTTCCACCAACGACTCATCGAAATTTTGCTCTCCATCTTGTCTTCAGGCAACGCTGCCGCTGCTGCCGCTCGGTTTGCGATCGTCGGCCGCGTCGCTGTTGCCGCTCCAGCCACCGAGCTCAAGCGCGTGCGCGACGCGATTGCCGCTGCAGCCCCAGCCGCTTCGTTCGCCGCCTTCCACCCATCGACTTCCGACCACCACAGTGATGACAAGGTCGATGCAGACGCAGTCATCGCGCTGTTCGACGCAGGCGCTGCTATCGTAAGGATCCCCCGAATGATTTCTGACTCTACCACCGTACCTCTGCTCACAGTGACTCTGACTCTGAACTCTGACTCTGACTCACTCGGATTGTCATTGCATCAAACACACATCCGCGAAATCGCAGGTCTACATTGCGGCGACGGCGGACGCGCTGGTCGCATCGCAGCTGCCGTTGGATCGCGTTGCAATCGTGCTCGGAGCCGATGCCGCAAACCTCGACAAGACCGTCGCTGCACTGCCCAAGGAGCTCGCTTCGGTGGTGATTCCAGTCAAGGAGATTACCCCCGCGGTCGTTGCTCAGTTGGCTCCGATCGCCAAGGCTCGCCGCCTCACTGTGCGTGCGCCTTCTGCCGTGTCGGCTGAGCTCGTCGCGCAGCTCGACCAGGCCAACATTGACGTGCTGGTCGACTCGGAGCATGTCACACCTGCGCTGCTGGGCGATGCCATCGCTGCGGTGCTGGTCACCGACCGCCCAGATGGCCTGTTTGCCACGAGCGTTGTGGACGAGCACGGCGTCGCGCTGGGCCTGGTGTACTCGAGCCGAGAGAGCGTCCGCCAGGCGCTGGTCGAGCGCCGAGGCGTGTACCAGTCGCGCAAGCACGGCCTTTGGGTCAAAGGCCTGACCTCTGGCGCCACGCAAGACTTGCTGTCGGTGGCGGTCGATTGCGATCGCGACTGCTTGCAATTTGTCGTTCACCAGAACGGCACTGGATTTTGCCACCTGAACACGCGCTCGTGCTTTGGAGGGGATGCCGACCGCGGTCTGCCTGCGCTGGTTCGCACTCTCGAGGCGCGGAAGGCGAGTGCTCCAGCGGGCTCGTACACCAAGCGGCTGTTTGAAGACCCGGCCATGCTGAACGCCAAGATTCTCGAAGAAGCCAGCGAGCTCACGCGCGCCGTTACCCCCGACCACATTGCTGCCGAGGCTGCCGATGTGCTCTACTTTGCCTTGACCAAGTGCGTTGCTGCAGGCGTCACGCTGGCAGACGTCGAGCGCATCCTCGATGCGCGCTCCAAGAAGGTGACGCGCCGCCCGGGCAACGCCAAGGCCGAGTTTGTCGCCAAGGAACGTGAGATTGCCGACCAAGAGCAGCGCAAGCAGCAGCAACAGCAGCAGCAACAACAACAACAACAACAGCAACAGCAACAACAAGCAGAGCCCAAGCCCGAGCAAATTCTCAAACGATACGCCCTCAAGGATCTCTCGCCCGCCGAAGTCACCCAAATCTGCCGTCGACCTGCGCAAGTGGATGCATCCAGCATTGTCGAGCGTGTCAAGCCGATTCTTCAGGCGGTGCGCACTCGTGGCGACGCGGCGTTGTTGGAGCTGACGGCCAAGTTCGACAAGGCGCAACTTTCCTCCCCCGTCATCGATCTGATCAACAATCCGCCAGTGCTCACGTTGTCGCAGGAAGTGCGCAACGCCATCGATCTTGCCTTCAACAACATTCATCGCTTCCACGCCGCGCAGCTGACGACCGAGCCCCTTGTGGTCGAAACCTGCCCCGGCGTTGTTTGCACCCGCTTTGTCAAGCCCATCGAGCGAGTTGGCCTGTACATTCCTGGCGGAAGCGCCGTTCTTCCCAGCACCGCGCTCATGCTCGGCATCCCCGCCCTCGTTGCCGGATGCAAGGAGATTATTTTGGCCACTCCGCCCCGCGCCGACGGCACCATTGTTCAGGAGGTCCTGTACGTCGCCATGAAGGTTGGCGCGTCCAAGCTGCTCCTTGCTGGTGGCGCCCAGGCCATCGCCGCCATGGCATACGGCACAGAGTCTGTTCCCAAGTGCGACAAGATTTGTGGTCCTGGCAACCAGTTTGTTACCGCCGCCAAGATGCTCGTGCAGGTAGGTTTGGTGATTTTGTGGTGTAAAGACAAAAAAGGGGGGGGGGAAGGAAGGAGGAAGAGTGCTGACTTTTTTTTGCTCGTCGTTTCCCAAGAACGACAACACTGCCATGGTCAGCATCGACATGCCCGCCGGTCCTTCTGAAGTTCTGGTAAAGTATTAATGTTGATGCCCTTGTCGCAGCGCAGGGTGTGTATGGTGGTATAGCTCATTCATTTATTTCCCCTTCGGCTTTGCCCAAACAGGTCGTTTGCGACAAGTCTGCCGACCCAGCGTTCGTGGCTTCCGATCTTCTCTCGCAAGCAGAGCATGGAACCGATAGCCAGGTTGTTCTCGTTGCTGTCGACCTTACGGACGGCCAGCTCCAAGCTCTGCAGGACGAGGTCGAGGCTCAGGTAACGTTGTTGGATTCTTGGCAGCCTGGCTTTGTTTTTCGCCACCGCAATTCCTCGCTAAATAACCCGTAATTCGTCAAACAACTTGCAGGTCTCGGCACTGCCTCGAGAACAGATTGCACGCGGCGCTCTCTCAAAGTCGTTCGTCGTCAGCGTTCCCACGCTTGCCAGTGCCATCGAGTTCAGCAACAAGTACGCCCCAGAGCACCTGATTGTCAACACTGAGAACGCCGAGTCTGTTCTTCCCCTGGTTGAGAATGCCGGCTCGGTGTTTGTTGGCGCCTACTCGCCCGAAAGGTATGGAATTTTCGTATCGATCCAACTCGGACGCAGCGTTCTCCACAACACTGCTCTCACTCTGACTTGTTGCTCTCTATCTCTCTTTCTTGCTAGCTGCGGCGACTATGCCTCTGGCACCAACCACACCCTCCCGACCTATGGTTATGCCAAAATGTACTCTGGCGTGTCCACGTCCACTTTCCTGAAGCACATCACCTCGCAGCAGCTCTCGCAAGACGGATTGTTGTACATTGGCGATGCTGTCGCGACCCTTGCTGCCTGTGAGGGCCTTGACGGTCACAAGAACGCCGTTGTTGTGCGCCAGAAGAAGATTCGCGCCGAGCGCAGCAAGTAGCGTGTGGAACGTTGTGATGTGCCTCTCTCCCCAATGTGAAGCTCGACAACAAGAGCGGAAAATCACGCAACAGTACTGGATTGAAAAAAAAAATCAAAAGATCAATCAAATTTCTTTTGTTTCTCCATTTTTGTTTGAACATCACATCAAACTTCACATCACATCAAACTTCACATCCCATCAATATCGTGTCATCTCATCAATCCCTCGCAGTTGCCGCCGAAGCTCCTCATTTTCATCCTGAAGCTGTTCGAGCTCGTTGTCCATCTCTAATACTCGTTCGATGAGCTGGGCCTTGGTCATGGCGCGGAGCTCTCGTTGCATCTCCTCAGCATACTCGTCCTCGGCGAAACCGTACGGCACCTGGCTCTGGTTGAGATGAAGCTTGTTGCCAATGTCTCCCGTTGGAACTGGATGTTGCAGCTCTTCGGCCGGAATGGTGATGATTTCAGGGAGCGGTGACTTTGCGTCGCCGAGCTGGGCCTCGTGCGCGCCGATCAGAAACTGGCTTGTATTCCTGGGTGCAACGGCACGTAAGTGCTTGACCACGCGGTTTCCATGCCGCGAACGCCTCTCGACAATCACAGAGGGATCGGCAGATGCATGCCGCTGCCCCTCATCACGGCCGCCTCGTCGCCCACGCCGTCTGGAGCGAGGAGTCGATTGCGCGTTGTTTGACTCGTCACCCGTAAAGCTATGATCCAGCGAAGGCGAGACTTGTCCGAGGAATTGCCCGGACGTTGCCACGTCTGCGATCGAGTTCCAAGAGCTTGCACTTACTGCCTGCCGCTTCTGGTTCTTTCGGTCTCCTCCGCGGGCGCCGGCGACGGAAGCGTCCGTCACAAGGGGAACAGTGCTGCCCGGGGTTGTGGCCCTGTGGCTATCTGGCATTGGTGAGGCCGAGCGAGTGGCGTATGCTGGCGAAACCGCGGTGGAGGCAGGTCGTGACGGGCGAGTGCGCAGAGAATGGCCGCCATAGTTGCCATTCTGACTCGCCTCGACAGGGACGGCCAGGTGGAACGCATCGGCAGCCACGGGGCTCGTCTGGGCACTGAGCATTGCATCACGAAGGCGAGTCGCGTAGTGCAGTTGCTGCTGGTGCAGCTCGGTTGTAGGCGTGGCCCGGCCTGACGCGGTGCCTCGTCGGGACTGCGTCCGTCCTCCGCCACTGGCCGACTGAGGGCTATCAGCGGCAACAGCAGGAGCTGAATGATGAGTAGCTAGCGGCGAGATGGCATCCAGCATTGGGGGCGACGAACTGGCAACGTTTGTGTGGAAATCGGCATCCGTCGCAGCAGCAGCAGTATCTGCACCATCGGCCTGGGATGAGTAATTGGCACGGCGGCCTCGGTGCCGTTGATCCCGATGAAGCCCATCAGCCATGATGGAGGCACCTCCACCGCCGCCGCTGCTGGTTGGAGTCGGGGCAGCTTGGGCACCCGCCGTGTTTGTGTTGCTCGAGTAGCTTGAATCCTTGGAGCTCCGACGATTCTTCCACGATCGCTTCTTTTGCAATCCTCCTCCTTGTTGCTGCTGTTGTTGCTGTTGCTGTTGCTGTTGCTGCTGAGACTTTTGCTGTTGGTTGTTTTGAGGGGTTGGCGGGTTGGCGTTGTTGCTGTTATTCGCAGCGGATTGGAAGTTTCGCCCAGCAGTACCAGCAGCATTGCTAATACTGTTCATGCTATTACTATTACTGTTGATGCTTCCTGGTAATGATAATGACGTCGATGACGATGATGCGCTCTGAGGCATGTGAGGCGAGTGAGTGATGATGATGGGCGGATGGCTGGACTTGGCCGGTGTGACTGGTCCTCCTCCTCCTCCTCCTGCTGCTTGAGAGCCGGTTGGGCCGAATGCGCCTTCGCTCTCTCGACGACGCGCCTGTTGCATCTCGTACTGCTCATTCGTATATGGCGGCGGAAGTAAGCCCGATGGGTGCGTCGACGATGATGGTGCGACGACGACGGCCACAGTGGTTGGCCTCGACGACGACGACGACGACGACCCTGACGCGTTACTACTTGAGCTCGTTCCCTGCATCGCTAAAGTGCGAGTCAAGTTGAGCATGAAACAATGACCAAAAGAAAAAAAGTTCTTGGAACAATCAAAAAAAGAAGACTGAAATGACTGATTTTCCAAGAATCCGAATTTGGGTGTTGTTTGAATTTGAACTGGGATTTGAGTTGTAATTCGCTTCTGCTTGATTCGATACAAAGCATTGAAATTCAGTGTGCTTGGAGCGAATATCCAAACTCTATGCAAAGAGAGCGTGTCGGGAACAAAAACCAATGTCAAACAACAACGTCGAATGGTCGATGTCCGAGTCGTCGTCGTCAGAATGGCTTCTAGGCACAGAATGAATAGAATGCGCAGAGCTAGCAGAACACACAGAGTAGCCTTTGAGTCAAAGCACTCAGGTCGGAGATGAGCGTTCAGCGTGGAAAAAAAAAGGATCAAACAGCGATTTCAATCCTTCACGTAGGCTTGGAGCAAGGAGCTCAACGCTTCATCGCTGCAGCAGTACAAGTCAACAATGACCGAGAACTGATCGAGCAGCCACTGAGGGTCCTCGGCCCGGTGCTTCTGGATGAGCGAATTGAGATAGTCCGGGTCCTTGGGAGGCACAGCCTGCGTATAGTCCAAACGCATGCCCTTCAACAGCTTGAAGGGAGTCAAGAGATTGAATTTGCTGAACGTTTTCTCAACCAGATACTCATTGATGGCAAGGCTGCGCGCTCTTTCGGCTGGTTGCAGATCCTCCCAGCAGGATGATTGGCGCAAAAGCATTTTGAGACTGTAGACGATGCCCAGCTCTTCCTCGCGTTCCGAACTGTTGCAAATCACAAACTGGACCAAGCGCCTGTCCACGCGGAAGGCGACTTCGCTGATCAGCTGACACTCCTGCCGATACTGGGCTGTAGCTTCGAGCTCGTCCAATCTTTCCTTCCAGTTTGCCAGCGTTGAACGCATCGTTGCCAGCTCTGACGACATCGCCGTACTAACTTGTGTCTTTGTGAGCTTTGCGTGCTCTTCGTCAAGCAGTGCGACGGAAGTTGGCAACGCTTTTACGTCGACCCGGAAGTTTGCACCGTCATGCGCCGTCTGCTCGATCTCGCTCGCGAGAGAAGAGGATTCAGAAGCTGACATTGGAGAAGTTGCCATCACTTCTTTCAATTGCATCACAAGTGGACTGGAAAGCTCAGACTTCTAGGTCTTGGCAGTTCATTTTTTGGGGTTTTCCACACGTTTCCCCCACCCCCAACCACCCCAACCCCCCGGCCTCGAGTACAACATGAAGAGATGCGCTCCAAACATATGCCAGGCCACATTATTTGTGTTCATGGGGGTACGGGCGCAATACCCTTCTTCACCCAAAATTTCAAACCAGTTGTGATGATTTGCGCGTTCTAGTCGCTGTGCTCCCACGCGATTGCCATTGATTTCATTTCAAAGTTGCCTTAAGAGCTCCATGTTACAGCCCCCAACCCATATATGTCTGTCAGCTCATTGCACAATCTACTTTGCATCGAACACCGCAACAACCAACAATCACTCGATCGTAGTGCGCCGCGTTCGTTAGACCAATCTCACATCGATGAGAACGGATTCATCCAAGCTGATTCAAACATACAAACGAGGCCACGGCGACAAAGGAGAAGACAACAACGACCAGGACCCAGTTAGCAAGCGAGAGCGCGTCGAAACCGACGAAGACCAAGACCAAGACCAAGACCAAGACCCAGGAACCGCGCCTGTGGTGACCGATGCCATGGCGACACACATACAGAGCGACCCACAAGAGCAGCTGCGACCAAGCGCTGCAGCAGGAGCAGAGCAGCGGGAGGAGCACGAATTGAGCCAACAACCAGACAGCAACCAATACAACGACCTGCACAACCCGGACAACTCGTCGTCGGACAACCTGCACTTGCGACCCAGGGACAACAGGCACATTGCACAGTGCTGGCTCAACCAGGGGACTGGGTACACGACGCGGTCGGACGCAGCGTTTACGCGGGTCTTGACCAGTGACGCGCTCGAGCTCGAGTACCGCCGCAGAAACAACGAGATCAAGACCGTGATTCACTGGGGTCAGCGCAAGCTGCTCCTGAGCGAGATTGAGTTCCTCACATTGCACGGCGTGCCCGGCCAGCTCGTCGTGTACGCGGGTGCGGCGCCCGGCACGCATCTCGAGTACCTGAGCAGTCTGTTTCCCGAGCTGTACTTTCACGCCGTCGACCCAGCCCCATTTACTGCCAAGGAGACCGATCACATCAAGCTCATCCAGGGGCTCTTTACTGACGAGATGGCGAGCAGCTACTGCGGCCAGCGCGCGCTCTTTATCAGCGACATCCGTTCGGCCGACTGGCAGCGCCAGTCCGACCAGGAAGTCGAAGCGAGCGTCAAGTGGGACATGGACGCGCAAATGCGGTGGCACTTGCTCATGCAGCCAGTGCGCAGTATGCTCAAGTTCCGTCTGCCGTGGGCGCCCGGAACCACCGAGTACCTCGACGGCGACCTTTATCTGCCCGTCTGGGGCCCAATCACCACCACTGAGGCGCGGTTGATTACCGCAGAAGATCCGAACGCCAAGCGCGACTACGACCACACAAAGTACGAGCGACAAATGTTCTTTTTCAACACAGAGCAGCGCGTCTGGCTCTACGACCATCCCGTGCGCGGCGAGGGCCTCGATTGCTGTTACGACTGTCGCGCCGAGGTGTTCATTCTCGCCGACTACCTCCTCAAGGTCAAGCGAGTGTCGGAAGCCGACTGCGCGACAGAAGTGGCAAACATGTCGCGCCGCATCTCTCGCAAGATTGCTGGCGGCCGAACCTTACTGGACGACAATATTGATCCTGGCGTGCGCAAGCGAGGAATACAAAGCCGTCAGTGGATTGGTGGCCGACCTGCCTACGAGGCTGCCAATCCTGTGCAGTACTCGGCTCGCGATCGAAGCAGGGTTTTGCCAGGGGACAATCAGCACCGTTCCACTCAGAATGGTCGGTCTCGAAATCGTTCCAACAACCAAGATAGCAACCGCAATACCAGTCACAGTCGCAGCGAAAATAGCCACGAGCATCAGTGAGCGTGAGTGTGCAGTTTGAAGCGACCAATCACTGAGCGTGAGTGTGTTTATGTGAAGCGAACTCCCATTAGTTACAATACAAAGTGTACATGTTCTTGAAGTCTCGTGGTTGCTCTCTTTTTGACGTCTCGTGGTTGCTCTCTTTTTGACGTCGTTCTAGATCGAGAGATAGAGACTTTGCAGCCATGCTGAATCCAGCTGAATCCAGCAAAAGATCGACCAAATCCAAAAATCGTCCGCAGTCAAATCTCTTTGTTCCCCCCAAGCTCCCCATGCGAGCTCCAATAAACGAGTCAGCACCTGATTGTCCTGGTGTCACAGCATCTGCCGTAGATCTACTCGTGGTCATTTGGGGTTTCTGTGTTTTCGCATTGATGACACTCCCTCTCCCCTCGTGCGAATACAAAGATCTGCCACCTTTTCCCCCTCCCCCTCCTCCTCGTGCGAATATCCCGCTCATATATCCGGCGCAGATTTAAACAAAAAATCAACCCTAATCTGAAATTCCCGCACCAAAACCCCTCGTGCAATTGATTTTCTTGGCGGTTTTTCCAAAATTACGCACTCAAAATCAACTATCAAAAAAGCTCCAATTGTTCCGCAGCTGATTTCAAATTCGCGCGTTTTGTTCAGATTTTGCAAAATCACTCCTGTTTTCAACAGATTGAAAGAAAAAAACCAAACAAACACAAACAAGCAAACAAGCAAACAAGCAAACAAGAACGACGAAATGGCGCAGCAGACAGTGCTTGTGACGGGCGGATCCGGCTTTATTGCAAGCTGGTGCATCAGCGTTCTCCTCGAGCGCGGATTTAAAGTGCGCGCCACGGTGCGGTCGACAGCCAAGGAGGCCTCTGTGCGCGCCGCAGTCACGCCGGCCGCTGCCGTGCACGTCAAGGACAACCTCACATGCGTCGTGGCAGACCTCACTGCAGACGCCGGCTGGGACGAGGCCGTTGCCGGGTGCGAGTACGTGCTCCATGTCGCCTCACCCGTTTTTGCCGCCCTGAAGGCGAGCGACCCCGAGGAGGTCATCCGTCCGGCTCGCGAGGGCACCCTGCGTGTGCTGCGAGCTGCCACGCGCGCGGGCGTCAAGCGCGTGGTTGTGACGTCGAGTCTCGCGGCGGTCGTTCCGCCCAACGTCGACGAGGACAAGATCTTTGACGAGCAGATCTGGACCGACACGTCCGATCCCGCTCTGTCGACGTACCGTCGTTCAAAGACACTTGCAGAGCGGGCGGCGTGGGAGTTCTTCCAGAACGAGCCGAGCACCACGACGACCCTGACGACCATTCTGCCGGGCATGGTTCTCGGTCCCCTCCTCTCGCCCGCGCATCTCGAGGGCTCCACCAAAATGATTCATCGCTTGCTGAATGGCTCGCCCAGTCTCTGCCCGCGCATCTCCATGATGATTACGGATGTGCGCGATCTTGCCGACGCCCATGTCGCTGCGCTCACGAGTCCCGACGCTGCTGGCCAGCGACTGATTATTACCTCAGAGATGAAGCTCCTGCTCGACGTGGCCACCATTCTGCGCGAAGAGCTGACTGCCGAGGAGGCCGCCAACGTGCCCGTCCGCAACATGCCCGACTGGATTCTGCGCATCATGGGCTGGTTTAGCGGCGAAATTGCCATGATCGTGCCGATGATTGGCCGCAAGGCTTGCTGGAGCGCGGCGAATGCCCAAAAGCGCATTGGCTTTACGCCCCGCCCCGCCCGCACGACCATTGTCGACTGTGCCCGCAGCTTGCTGGAGCTTCCCAAGTCGACTTGAAGAAGTTGCAAAAAAAGTTTTCGCTTCTCTTTTCTCGGTTTTCTTTTCTCGTCTTGTTTTGTATTCCGCTTTTTTCGTTATTGAATTCATTGTTAATGATGTTGTGTTATTTTGCTTATTTGTTGCCTTGACCATCAGCCAGGGATGGCTGTATTAAGTACACATAAAGTGCGCGCTCAGTCTCTTTCTTGTTCACATTTTCAATGGGTGCTGTCCTGTCCTTCTTTCGACGCGTAAGCTCTCCAGATTCCCCTTTTTTCCAATCATCCCAATGATCGTTCACATCCGATATCAATGCACAACGCCGAGCACTCCTGTCGAGCTGAGCATTGTGCACACATGCGTTTTGAATGAGAAAGCAAAGTGAAACGGTTTCAAACGGTTTTTTTATGGCCCGCTTAGCCACTCACTGTTCAACAACAAACCACAAATCACCATTCCATATGTTGCATGACTACATTCATGAATTGAAAAACTCTTCACGAGACAGAAGCCGCGGTCGCTGCCGGACGAGATCAAGTTCCTGCACGAGCAGCTGCAAGAGTCCAAAGCCAAGCTCACGGAATCGCGCAGGGCTGCAAAGTCCATTCTGGGCACCCTCACCATTGGCTTTGTGATGGTCTACGCAGTCGCGGGCCTCGTCTTCTACTTTCGCTACTTTTCACCAGACGCGCTGCACGAGTCCATCCTGTTTGCGCTGCCGCTGCTCGTCTCGCCGCTGCTGTAAGAACGAAGGGGGTGCAAAAGAGAACTTGCATTGGGGATGGCGCAAAACACACTCACCACGTTTAACACGGACGACGATGACTGCCACTCGATGACAACAGACTGTTCTACATCCTGAGGTTTGCAGTGAAGGCGTTCGTGCGTCGGCGGGCGACCAACGCAGAGGCGCACACGAACACTCTGCTGAAACGCAAAAAGCAGGCGTTGGACGAGTTCAAGGCGTCCATCAACTTTGACAGGGTGCAACAAGTGCTCGAAGCGTACGACGAAGGCCACATCCAGGTGCGTTCGTACAGCTAGGAAGGCAGGCGGGGGTGGGGGGGGGGGGAAAAAGAGGGGTTGGGGTGAGCGGAGGTCCAGCTTCTTTGATTGTGTGCACCACTACTTAACAAAAACTGACTTCCCTCAACACTCACTACACAGGCTCAAGCGGAAAGACAGCGCGCAGAGTTTGAAAAGTACCGCAAGGAGTTCGAAAAGCTGCAACAGGCACAGGCGCGGGCTGGTCCGCAGCAGCAGCAAAACCAGCAGCAACGGGCTCCGCTTGCAGGCACAGTGGCTGCTCCTGGCGTCGGTCTCGTTGGTCCTCGCCCCGTGCGACCCGTGCCACCGCCCAATCGTACATCGTTCGACCGCGTGATTGACTTTATCGTCGGAGACGGCCCGAACCAGCGATTTGCGCTGATTTGCCGCAACTGCAAGAATCACAACGGCATGGCTCTTCCAGAAGAGTTTGAGTACATTGGTAAGCATGCGGCTGGGGGCGGGCCAACGGGTTGCTTGGAACAAAAACACCAAAAAGAGGGCTTTGAGACAAAACCCATTTTGAACGGTATTTCTCAATACTTTGTCTTCCGCTCCCATAGAGTTCTACTGCGTCTACTGCAATGCTCAGAATCCCGCTCGGAAAAAGCGAGAGGTGCACGGAACTATTCCACAGTACTTGCAAGGACGGCAGCCAGAGTCGGAGCCGGCGCACGCCGCGAAATCGCCCGAGCCCATGCCGGGAGCTCACGGCATGCCCGTGCCCGCGCATCTTGTCAATGCAGTCAAGGCCGCGGCAGCCCGTGCCGCCGCCGAGCAAGCAGCAGAAGCAGCGAGCACCAGCAGCAGCGAAGCATCCTCGGCAGCGCCCGCTGGTCCCGCTGATCCCAAGTCCGCGCAGCCAGCAGAGGCCGCAAGCTCGGCTTCAAGCACCCCAAGTGATGGTTCGGATGCGGAGAGTGCAACTGCTCCAGAGTCCGAGTCGACGGGAGAGCGTCGCTCAACCCGAAGGCGGCAGGCTACGGACAAGTCCAAGACTTCTTAGCTTTCTCTCGGTTGACATTTGGCTTTTGTGATCCAAGGAAAACACCCATTAAAGTACTGTATTTGTATTTGTCGAAGTTTTTTTTGTTTCAACATTCTCGTTCAACCTAATCAACATTTCGATTCACATCAACCCCATGTTCCGATGTCCCTGCGTCAGCACTCAATCATTGGCGTTGCTGGCGGATCTTGGCAATTTGTCTGCACATCCAATAGCAGTATTGCAGTATTTTGGTGAGAAAGGCACAAAGCGAAAGCCGCAAGCTGCAAACACAAACCATGGTTTCTAAAGAAAACAAAAACGCTTACACGACGGAAGGTTTCCAAAAACCGATCGCCAAACCCGGGCACATGCTTAAGATCGTCAATCTGCAGAACGAAACAAATAAACCTCGCAAGTCAGCTTTGATCTGAGGCTGTCATCATAGGATCACCTTTGCAACTTTCGTACTTGTTGGAACATTTGCGATCTTTCATTCCTCCATAGAGCGATCGTTTGCGCGCGACGCTTGCCGATTCCACTCAACTGCATCAATACTTTCAAGTCACCAGTATTGAGCCTGTGCACCACTTCGCTTTCGGGCAGTCGAGCAATGGCCGAGTTCTGCAACGGAGGCGACAACAATGTGAGTCTCTGCCACGATTTCTGCCTCTTTCCCAAAACTCTTTCTTTGCTACCTACTTCATCATCACCTCCTTCAATCGAGCGGCGGCCGCGCTTGCTTGGCTTTGACGGCGCACCGCGTTTGCTCCGAACGCGGCTTCTTGGCGAGAAAGCTTCGTCATCGTTCTCATCAATTGTCACGCCAGCATCTTCATAATCCTCATCGGGCTCGCCCATAGCTGTGACGTCGTTGGTGTCCATGCTGCTTGTCGCAGGTGTCTCGGGCACGCTTGGAGCAGACATTTCCGACGCACCTTGCCCTGTGCTCGAGTTCATTGCAGTTGGCGGCATCAATGAAGGCCGCGCAACCGCACTTTGCATAATAGGAGACTCTGTCGCGATTGAGCTGAGGAGAACTGTAACAGGCGCGGATGCCATAACGGGCGAGGATGCAACCCCATCCTCGCGCTCCAGCTCGTGCTCAAGCGCATTCGCAATAATCTCAATGTCGGGCTGGTTTGGATTCAACGTCAGAGCTGAAAAGAAATTGCGCATACAAAAGTAGCGTGAATCCAGTGAGGCGGGGAACAACGACATAAAATTACTTTCAGTGATTGTTTGTTTTTGCGCCTCGTACCTTTGCGATAATGGAGAAGCGCACCATGCTTATTGCCGTCAGCATGGAAGCTGCGCGCTTTGATCACATGCTCGGCAGCCAAACTGCAGTCCTGGGGTTTGGCTGGGAGCCGCTCCTGCACTAATACTGCAGGTGCTTTCAGGCCAGTGCCCACGACCGGTCGGGCAATGCCGTTCACACTTGCGGACTGGCCAAATGGAGCAACAATTGACCCGCCCTTCACAACTCGACCGGCCGCTGAAGCGTTCTCGGCACGCTTTGTGGTTGCCGCGACCGCGTTGTCGTCCGTGGCAGTTTTCTTGCGAAGCTGCTGCTGTGCCGTGTCGTCGTTCTCCGCCGACCGCTTAAAGGCAAACATCGGACGTTTGAGGGCTGCTGCTGCTGCTGGCGGCACCGCGTCCACGACAGGCGGATTCACCACCGGTTTGTTGACAATGCTGCGGGATTTGGACGCATAGTTCAGACACATCAAAGTGTCCATGTACAATGCTCCACAGGGTGCAATGTTTGTGAGCATGCACGCGGCACTGTTGCCTCCAAGACTGTCCTGAAGTAGTCGCGTGAGTTTGCTATCGCGGTAGGGAATTCGCGCGTCGTTCTTGTTGAGGGCGTCGATGACCTTCCCCAAGACAAAAAGAGACTTGTTGATGGCTCCACTTTCTTTCATTCTAGGTGAGCAATCGAAGCAAAGTCGATGGAGGCACCGTGAGCGACAGTTGGTACATCAACAACAAAATACACGGCAACCAAAACATCGCGCGTACCGCTCTCCCGAATTGTCAGTCTTGCGATTGTCTTCCGAGCCTGCAAGATCAATCAAGTAAAGTTTGGCTTCAGTGGTCTTGTCGTTGACCCTTTTGATGATCTGTGGCAAAGGAGGTTTTTCAAGGTGAGTTTCGAACACTCAAAGTCAACACACACCCATCGCCAGCTTCACCGTCTCAAGCGCAACACTCGCTTCCAACTCCCGACTTTACCTTGAATCGCAGGACGCTGTGACTGCGACTGGAGGCTTCGTTCAGTTTCGTCTCGCCCACAGATCGGCCGGTCAAAGCCTTTGCAAACAGTGCCTCAAATTCAGCGTAGGTTGACACGGTGGTTTCTTGCAGCTTTGCAATGACAATGTTGTGATGCACGTCTTCTCGGAGCTCCAGCTCGTTGCGGTTGCCTGAGAGCAGGTCGATGATTTTCTCCATGTAAATTTCGAAAAAGGCCATCTGGACACTGCAGTGCTCCATTGTGGCGATTTGATCCAGGATGCGCTGTGCTGCGCGCGGAATGATACCGCGTGCCTCGGGTTGCGATCCACCCATCATGCTGAACGACTTGCCGGACGAGGTCGGACCGTAGGCAAAAATGGACGCGTTCATCCCGGAATGGAGCGCCTTGTCCACAATGGGCGTCACGTGCCCAAACACCTGCTCCTGGGTAACAGCATCGTCCAAGCAAGTGTCAAATGCAAAGCTGAGGGCTGACTTTGGGCCGTTGCGGTGGTCGTCCATTTCGACCGTGTTTCCGTTTGAAATCCGCGCGCAAACCAGCTCCTTGCTCTCGCTTGGCAGCAACGGTCGCAGACGCACAATCACCTGCACTGCGGATCCCACCGAGCCAGACTTGCCATTGCTTGTTTGCGCAGTAGCATTCGTAGGAGTCGGAGCAGCAGTGGTTGCACCAGCGGTTGTGCCGGGCCGACTCGCGCTCAATCTTGCCGCGTTTGAAACGGTTTCAGTTTTCGCCTTTTGGCCATTCAGCAAGCCCGACGTCAAGATGGTCGAGCGCGGTTGCACACCCACCGCCATTGTCGCCGTCAGACCTGTGAACACTGGGATTTTGTTTGGCAGCGGCATGGTTGAGGAGGAGGAGGCGCGAAATAAAGCGGGAAGAGGTGAAAGGAAGAACCGAGTGAAACCGCTGAGAAAAACAAAAAAAAAAAAAAAAAAAAAAAAGGAAAATGAATTTGACAAGGCTCCTTTGGAACACTCAAAGTTTACAAAAACACATAAAAACACAACATGATCAGAACGAGTCAAGAGCATGCGTGACTGAAAAGAAAAAAACAGAAACAGAAACAGAGACAAGAAAAACAACAAAAACAACAAAACAACTCTTAATGCGTGACTTGAGACAACTGCTTGCTGACGAGCGTCTGATAGACACCGCCGCGAATGGCCATCAGCTCTTCGTGAGTACCACGCTCAGCCACCTGGCCATTCTTGAGGGCCACGATAGCATCCGCGTTCTGGATGGTGGACAACCGGTGCGCGATCACGATCGTCGTGCGCCCTTCCGCGGCCTTGTCAAGCGCAGCCTGGACAACCTTTTCACTCTCTGCGTCGAGTGCGCTGTGTGTTTGTTTGTTTTTGGGGTATCGAGAGAAACGACAACAAGAGTTAGAGGCAACGTGGGCGCAAGGATTCAAGTTTCAGTTTGAGAGATCGAACAAGGCGTTTTGTTACCTCGTCGCCTCGTCAAGCAGCAACAGTTTCGGCGATCGCAAAAGAGCTCGAGCAATGGCAATACGCTGCTTTTGGCCACCTACTCGGAAAACAAATCACACAAATTTGTCAGCGAAATGGAAAAAAAAAATCCAAACCGCTGAATCCTTCACCACACTTGGCTGGCTTGCTTACCTGACAGCTTGCTGCCCTTCTCACCGACATCAGAGTCGTACTTGTCCGGGAGCGTCATGATAAAGTCGTGAATGTTGGCAGCCTTTGCGGCTTCGACAATCGCTTCGTGCGAGACATTCTGGCCGATTTCGTCGCAGTTGCCGTCCTTGTACAGCTCAGTATCCAAAAGACCATACGCAATGTTGCTCTTGATGGAGCCGCTGAATAGGATCGGCTCTTGGCCGACATAGCCCATCTGCTGGCGGTACGAGTGCACTTGGAAGTCCTTGTTGTTGACGCGATCAAAGTTGACAGTGCCCGTCTGGGGATCGTAGAAGCGCTCAATCAACGAAATGATGGTGCTCTGCAATTCAAATAGAAAGAGAAAGGAGCAGGAAAAAACCCCAAAGTCAGAAACACACACACACACACAAAAAAAAAAAATCAAAGCAACTTTTTTTTTTCTCTCTCTCACCTTGCCACAGCCACTGCCGCCAACAACAGCAATGCGCTTTTGGAGCGGTGCATCAAAGGACATGTTCTTGAGCACTTCGACGTCCGTGCGGCTGGGGTAGTGGAAGCCAACATTGTCAAACTGCACGGTGCCCTTGGCAGAGTGAACGACTTGGCCGTCGGTCTTGGAATAGTCAATGGCGCTGTCGACGTCCATGAGCTCAAACACACGGGCGGCAGCAGCCTTGGCCTTGGTGACATCGCCGAGCATGGAGGCGCTCTGTCCGATCGCCTGGAAGGCAAAGGTGATGCCCGAGTAGATGCGCATCATGGCCAGGAAATCCAGCTCGCCCCGCGCCACCAGCACGGATCCATAGTAGAACGAAATGCCGTCAATGAGCACCTGTGCAGCCTGGGCGACGCCATAGCCCACGCCCGCCACGACCGCGCGACGAAGACCGAGGCGGTAGGGCTTCCTGAGAAACTCCTTGTACTTGCGCAGGAATCGGCGTTCCGAGTGCAGCGAGGCGACCGTTCGCATGGACTGCACGGCCTCGGTGGCCACCTGGCCAGACTTTTGGTAGCTGCGAGCGCTGTCGGCCGAAAACCCAGTCATGGCACGCATCTGCAAGAAGGCTGCGGCGACCATCAGCGGCATGCAGGACAGGACAACGAGCGTCAGCTTCCAGCCGGAAAGGAAGGCAATCACCAAGCCGGTGGCCAGGCTGACGCACATTTGGACAAAGTGGGCGGCGCGGCTGCCAGACAGGCCCTTGACCAGCGTGGCGTCCGTCGCGAGCCGAGTGGTCAGCACACCCGTCGAGTGGTCCTCGTGGTCAAAGAACCCGACGTTCTGCTTGAGAATGTTCTCAAAGCACAGGCGACGCAGGCGCATGGTCAGCTTTTCTTCGGCAATGCCAAAGAGCGTGGTGTCAGAGTAGTTGAAAATGAAGGCGCCCACACCAATAAACACAAAGGCCATCGCCCAAGTGCTCGTGTCGGACGAGAGCGAGTGCCTGTCGGGCTGGTTGAAGACGTTGATAATCTCGCTGAAAACCAGACCAAAGACCGGGAAGACGGCGCCGTTGATGGAAGCGGCAAGCGTGGCAAAAATGACGAGCAAGATCTCGGGCCGGTGGTAGCGGTAGACACGCGTAAACGAAACCTTGGCCGCGAGCTCCTTGGCCTTTCGCGTGTCTTCGTCCGAGTCCTCGACGTCGTCACTCATGCCAGCGTAGTCGGCGTCGTCGCCGACCAGATGCTCAAGGTGGCCGGGCTCGATGGTTCGCGACTTTTGCGAGTGGTACGACTTTTGTGACTGGTACTTGTCGGAGGAATGTGCGGTGGCGGTGGTGGTGGCGGGCTTCTCAGCCGCCGCATCCGCAGACCCCTCGGAATCCAAGTCAAAGTCAATCAGGTTCATGTCGACTTCGCCCGACGAAGAAACCTTGCCAGCTGTCGCGAGGCGCATCATCTGCTTGCCCACAAGATTGGCGTAAAAGCCGTCAGGCAAGGCCAGCAGCTCGTTGTGCGTGCCCTGCTCGACCACCGCGCCCTTGTTGACCACGGCAATCACGTCCGCATTTCGGATGGTCGAGAGACGGTGAGCAATGACAATGGTTGTGCGGCCCTTGCTCGCACGGTCGAGGGCGTCTTGCACGAGCTTTTCGCTCTCCACGTCGAGGGCGCTGTGAAGAAAGAAGAAACATTGCGAGAATCAACAACAAAAAAGGCTCTGTCAGCAGCAATCAAAAAAAAAAAGATTGCAAAAAACAAAGAGATGACGGGGTGTGTGGAGCGCAACCCCACCTCGTGGCTTCGTCGAGCAACAGGATGCGAGGGTTGCGAACCAGCGCGCGGGCAATGGCAACGCGCTGCTTCTGGCCGCCAGAAAGCTGGATGCCGCGATCGCCGACAATCGTTTGGTACTGCTCTGGCAAGGACATGATAAAATCGTGGCAGTTGGCGAGCTTGGCCGCAGCCTGCACCTCGTCGAACGAGGCCGAGTACAGACGGCGCGAGGACTCGACATCGAGATCGAGCTCACTCTCCTCAAACGCGGTTGGCTTGCCCTGAGCAATGTTGTTGAAAATGGTGTCGTTGAAGAGGATGGGCTCTTGGGAAACCGTGCCAATGTGCGAGCGCAGCGTGCCAAGGTGCCACTCGCGAACGTCAACGCCGTCCACCAGCACCTGGCCATTCAACGGATCGTAAAAGCGTTGCAGCAGGCCGACCGTTGTGCTTTTGCCACAGCCGCTCGAGCCTGGTGTGTGTGTGTTTTTTTTTTTAAAAAAAATTTGTTTGTTTGTTTTCACGCAGACCAAAAGAATGGAGGGTCAGCCAAGAATCAACAACAACAACAACAACAACAACAACAACAATGACCTTACCAACAAGAGCAACCGTCTTGGAGGGCGCAATGGTCAAGTTCATGTTGTTCAGGATTTGCACATCGGGGCGAGAAGGATAGGCAAAGGAAATGTTGCGGAACTCAATCTCGCCGGTCACATGGGTGATGCGACGACCCTCGGGCGACAGGGAATCGATGGGCGACTTGCGGTCGATGATTGCAAAGACCTTGTAAGCAGCGCCCTTTGCCGAAGCGAACGCGCCAGCAGCGGGCGCAGCACCACCGAGCGAGAAGGCGCCTGTTGTGTTCAACGTGTTGGACTCGCGGTGGTGAGTACGGTGAACAATCCCAACGATGAAGCGAAAAGCAAAAAAAACAAAGCAAAAAACAAAACAACAACAACAAAAAAAAAAAAACACTTTGCTCAAAAATCCTTACCCATCAGCACCGCAAAGAAGGTCGCGGTAATGTCACCAGCAGACATGTCACCGTCGAGAATCAGCTTGCCGCCATACCAGAATGCGAGGCCGTATGCGGCAAAGATGATAAAGAACAGTGCACCGACGCTCAGACCAGTGTAGTGCGCCTTCTTGTAGCCAATCTTGGCAGCAGCAACCAGGTTCTTGGCGTAGCGATTGGTCTCGCGCTGCTCGCCAGAGAACGCAATCACGGTGCGCACGGAAGACAAGGCCTCTTCGGCGACGACGCCGGCGGCAGCGTACACGGTCTGCCCTTCGTTGGTGAGCGTCTGCATCATCTTGCCGAGAATGCCCACCGTGATGACAATCAGCGGCACGACCGACAGCAGGACGAGCGTCAGCCTCCAGCCGCGAATAAAGCCGACCGCAAACGAGGCAATGAAGGCGCACACCGAGTAGACAAAGACACCGACCTTCTCGCCAATGCCGTCCTGGATCATTTGCGAGTCGCTCGAGATGCGGGTGGCCACGCCGCCCGACTGCTGGCCATCAAACCAGGCAATGTCCTGGCGCAAGACGGCGGCAAGGAAGCGGATGCGGATGCGGCGGGCCTGGCGCTCCGAGGTGATCATCCACAGCGCCATCTGCATCCAGCCCGTAAAGAAGATGCCGCTCGCCAGAATCAGATAGTAATACAGGTAGGTCTGGATCTTGGACTCGAGCTCGTCGGAGGTGATCTTGCCAGCCATAAACTCGCCAAAGTAGTCGACGACGTCGCCGAAAAAGTAAGAGTAGAAGGGCAACGCGGCGCCTCCGACAACGCTGCCCAGCAGGCCAAAGAACATGAGCAGGCCGTCAATCCCGTCTGCAAAGCGGAAGAGCTGGCTGAACGGGGCCGACTTTTCGTCTTCCTTCTTGTCCTTGTCGTCCTTGTCCTTGGTGTCCTTGGTGTCCTTGTCGTCCTTGGTGTCGGAGGTGGACGCCGTGAGGAGTGGGGATGAGTCGCTCGTGGCGCTCGCTTCATCGTTCGCCTCCTTGCCCTTGCCCTTGCCCTTGCCCTTGCCCTTGCCCTTGCCCTTGCTCTCTGGCACGTCAATGATGGCAGCGTCGGCTGATGGACTTGCGCCGCGGTTGGCAATCAGCGGCTTGCGAGCGTCAGCGTCGACCTGCATGTTGTCGAGTAGTTTGTTGTAAATTTGTTGGAAAAAGCACGCCAAAGCACGCCAACCATTGCAAGATTCCAGATCAAAAAAAGTGAGTCAACATGTCAAATCACATACACCTCAGACCAAAAGTCATCAGAGTGCACGAGTTGCAGGATTGCAGGGGTGCGGAAATTTTGGCCACCCCGTCCTCTCGCTCTCCTGTTCTGTTTCTTGTTGTTCGCAAGTGTTGCGGGTGGCATAAAATTTCCGCACTGCGATCATCGTGCGCACTTGTCTTGCTTTTGATACACGATTTCCCATACACACCCCTCTTCCCTTGTCGCACTCCCCCTCAAAATGGCTCAAACATCATGGCTCTCAAATAGAACAAAGGAACACAAAAAACTCACATAGTCGTCGTCGTCATCGTGGTCGCTGGACATGGTCGATCAACCAAACAAACGAAACGAACGAAAGAGCGACGATTGAAAAAAAAAAAAAAAAAATGAAGAGTGAATCCGCAAAAGCAAGCATGCGTTTGAGCCATTTTGAGCCATTGCGCGCTGTTTGAAAAATTGTGTTGGCCAAGACAATTGAGTCCTGTTTGTGCTAAGTTGAGCGTTTTTGTAAAAAAAAATTGTATGGAGGGGGAAAAAAACAAGTTGCGCGAATCCGACGTTTCAAAATCACGGCTCGCGTCTTGGCTATCTGTCTTGGCGGCTGTTTTTTTGTTTTGGAGGAAATACGGCGCAAAAAGGTGCTCGGAGCAAAGAAGACAAAGCATGTGCAAACGTGGCGGAAACATATGGATGACATCAATCCCGAAAATGCATTGCATGTTTGCGCGGTAGACGTGGAACAAGAACAGAGCTCGTGGGGAAAGCGACGAAAAAATCTCGTCTGCCTGTGGTACGAATTGGGCTCGGCCATGTGTCGGATTTGCGTACAAAGAACGTTGTAAAAGAACGAGCAGAAGTCCAATTCGCGACATCTGGGTGTCGGAGAGCATCAGCTCGAGCAAAGGGCCGTGAATTCAGTGAAATCGATCGTTTCACAATCGTCCATCTGCTGCTCCGTTCTCGATCCACTTTGACGTTGTACTGCATGTGAATACACCTCTATCAAAGGGTTGAATGCTCGACTTTTTGATCCATGCTGGAAAAAGAGAAAACGCAGGGAGGGCTGGACGATTCCATGGGAAATTCAAAGGTGAAAACTTCAGCCACCTTCCGATGTACTGTACGCGCATGTTGGGATCCCATTGTATCATGAATTTAGAATCAATCACCCACTTCAGTCTCTGATAATCTTAACACACAAAGGGGGGGAAAATGGCACTGGTTGACATTACATCTCACAGCCAACTCACAGAATCGCTCGCCGCGGCTGCTTCGACGGGCAGCCTGAGCGTCGTCCACTTCTGGGCCTCGTGGGCCAACGCATGCCAGCAAGTCAACGATGCCCTCGTCGACCTGGCCAAGCTCCACCCGCTCGTCCGCTTCTTCAAGGTCCGTGCGTGCGTGCTTGAGCGCCTCGTGTGTGAGCCGTTGCTGGCTTTTCTCGCGCTTGCATGAATCCTCCCCCCGCCGGCGAACGCTGCGCCACGTTCGACTGACTTACTATGTGTCATGGATTGATTCTGCAACAAATGCTTGGTTGGAGCAGGTCGAGGCAGAGAACGTGCCCGAGGCCGCAGAACAGTACGAAATCGCCGCGGTGCCAACGCTGCTTCTCATCCAGGTGAGGGTTTCGGGGTTTCGGCTTTTGGACCACCCGGTTTCTCAGATTGTTTGTACCCGCACGGCCTACTTTGAGTTATGCGATTGGGCGGGGTGGAGGGTTTTGCGCAAACTGACCTGAATGTTTCTCGATTTTTTTTTCCTCCGTGTCGCTCTCCAACTCCCACTCGTGGCTCATTCCAATGCTTGGATTGCAGAACTCCAAGGTTGTCGATACTATCAACGGCGCCAACATCCCCGAGCTGTCCAAGAAGATCACAGCGCAATCAGCGCTCGCCGTTCCCAAATCGGCCGCTGTTGTCGCTCCCGCGCAGCCCGCCACGAGTGGCAACCTCGAAGCGCGTATTGACTCGCTGATTAAGCAATCGCAGATGGTCATTTTTATCAAGGGCACCCCCACCGAACCTCGCTGCGGCTTTAGTCGCCAGCTCCTTACTCTCCTGGACGGCGTCAAGGCTGACTACTCTTATTTCAACATTCTCAGCGACGAGGATGTGCGCCAAGGTGAGGGCGTGTGTTGTAGTATCTGGCTGTCCCCAGCTTCTGGTCGGTTTTTTGCGAGATTTCTTGATGCTCAGTTTGTTTGTTGTCGTTTTGTTGCTTTTAGGACTGAAGGTCAAGCTTGACTGGCCCACCTTCCCCATGGTCATTGTCGATGGCGAGCTGGTCGGAGGACTGGACATTGTCAAGGAAATGATTGCTTCTGGCGAGCTCCAAGGCATGATTCCCGTCAAGTCGGCTTAAACTTCTGGATAAGTTTGTTCCGAGGAAACGGGTTACGACCTGGCCCGGAACATTGACCCGAATCACGACTGCAGCATGCTAGAATGGATGCGGAAGTATTGTGTACTACTAGAGTGAAAGAATGAGGGGGAAAAAGCTTGACAAACGCTGAGCCCAATTCAGAAATGAAAATAAACTCAAAAACACCCCCCCATTTCAATACGAGCATGCAACGGTCCATCGAGAGTGGATAGCGCATGTCGTGGTATGTTTATCTCGCTTTTGTTACATTGCTGGTGTGGATCTCGAGCCATAACAATCCATGCATGTACTTGCTTCAGCTCGTGTCTGTGGCGCCGTGCTTCTCGCCTGTGTCCCGTGGCCCCCTCCATCCCCGACCTCCCAGGGACCACCGTGCCCATGGGCTTGTATGCGATCGTCCCCCCTGTGGTCCGCTACGCTCCCAAGAGACATTACCAATTTCAGATGCATGTATTGGAGAGTTCAGTCGCCTTCATACACAAAACCAAGCAGAAAAATAGGCGCAGTTTCACTTTCGTGTCCTGCCGCGCGTCTGGACAAGTCGATCAATGTGCGCGGTGCCGGACAGCTCAATGCGGGCTCGCCAACCATTAATGGGATCAGTGCGCATGTGCGCCCCGCGCGGGCCCAGGCTCCCCGTCGACAAACGAGCGCTGCAAAGCGAGCGTTTCAAGTGCACAATTGAAAAATGTTCAATCGATGCTCAGGTATATTGTCAGTAAGGCACCAAGCGCTCCACACGAGTGCAAGCGTCCCCAGCCGCAATGCACAATTCCAGCAGGGTTTCTTGTGCACGCGGGGGTGAACGGCGAGCCTTGCCCGACCGCTTACAATCGATGTTTGGGTGAGTGAATCCATTGGTGGCTGAAGTCTCATTGCAGGTGCTGTGGCGATTTTCGCCTCATTCACGACAAACATGTGGCGGTGTTCTTATCTTGCGCTGTTGATTGTTCTGGCGCTTTTTTTTTTGGGGGGGGTGGATCTGAGAGAGTTTGACGTCTGAGCACCGCAGAAGGGCGTTTTTCTTGCTAATGTTTTTTTTTTTGCTTTTGGTTTGTTTTCCGCGGGTGGGACTGAATCTCACCTGCTGCCCTTATTGCGGCTTGTCCTCCTTCGCATCAAAAGGCCTGCCACTTGGTCGATGCACCTTTCGGAGCCTTTCGGAGTCAGATCAAACCGACATGACGGTGGTGCCAGCAGTCCTTTTTTTTTTTTTTTTTTTTTTTTTTGTTGTGTGTGTGAGGTGAGCTTTCCTTTTCCCAACTTTCTCCCCAACTTCTCGCCACCTACTCTCCACCGCTCTCCGTCCTATTTCCTTTTTATTTGACTTTGTCTTCTCCCAACGCTCTCTCTGCTCGAATCGAATCCTCAACAACACCCTAACGAAAAAAAATTGCGCGTTTTTATTTATTTTGTTCGCTTTTTTTTTTTTTTTTTTTGTCAATGCCAGCTCACCAACGCGTGTTAAAGGGGAAAAAAAAAAAAAAAAAAAATCATGCTTGAGGCGCATTTTCGCTTCTCATTTGCTCTCATCTTGTCGCTCGCTTTCTCATATCAAACCCCTGTTGCTATTGCGTGCGCGTCGACCGTCCACATTGGGCTGGATTCTGCTCTGCTGGGGACTGAACAGGCGGAAACCGCGGGTGATTATTTTTCGTTCAGGCTTTTTTTTTTTTTTTTTTTTCCTTTGGGGCTGCACAGCTGTGCGGGGGGTTTTCGTTTTTTGGCTGCATTTTGGTACTACTTTCCAGCCGTTTGAACCAGCCGCCAAGTGCACTCTGACAACGACCAGTGCTGTCCTTTCTCGCCTTCACAGCACCGCGGTGGCCGTCGCAGAACGCTAAAGGCGCGAGGGAGTTTGGATTTTTTTTTTTGTTGACCTTTTTTTTTTTTTTTTTCATTTTCGTCATTTCGGCTATCGCATGCGTTTTTCGGAGAAGCTGGCTGTGCGGGCGCTGGGTGCGACCTAGCCACTTCTCGTTCTCGGAAACCGACGCGCCATTGCTGTCGGCACACGGCAGTGCTGGTGCGAATGGCCTACGTTGACGCAAGGCCAGGCAGCCTCACTCGGCAGAGGCGGGCCCATCTCAAAAAAAAAAAAATTGAATAAATGCAGGCAAAGTTTTTTTTTTTTTTTTTTTTTTGAGTGCGCTCTCGTCACTCGAGCTCGACGCCTGTGACGCGCAGCCTTTCGGTCTCTCCACCTATCGATAGTCCATTCCGCGTTTTCAATGCCTGCCACTTCAAAATCGGAAAGTCAAACCCCGATTTCGTCGCAAACCCCCCAAAAACAAACAACAATCACTTAGAAATAAACAAGGGAGAAAAAAAAACCGGAATTTTTTTATTATTTTTATTTTAAATATTTATTATTTATTTTATTATTTATTATTTTTTCCTTGTGTGAGAGCGCAGTGCAAACAGTGCAAGATTGCGAGTTCGCTGTGCCTGACAGCGGCTTTGCATTGCACGACAGCGGAGCATCGATGAAGGAGTGAATGTGGCTGGAGTAACCTGCCCTGCCTTGGGGGTGTAGAAGTGGGATGCAAGTGAGGAGCGCTGTGACCTTGCTTTTTCGCTAGGACGACGTCGTTGTCTTGGCCTTTCTCACTCCCGTTGCTGGAGCCCGTGTCCGTGTCTGTGGAGCGTGCCCTCGGGGGATTTGGGGTGTTGTGGAGAAATGGCTTTCAGCACTCGCTTGGGCTGCTCTGTATTGGCTCGCTCTCACCACGCTCCATGCTGTGGTCTGCGGCGTGTGAGAGGGGCGTCAGTCGTTGTGATGGATGGATGGCGTTCGCTGTTTCGCCCACAGCCTCAACCGCGTGTCATGTCATGCCATGCCATGCCATGATTCACTCTGCTCCCAACAAGGATGTCACGCTCGCTCTTCCTCGTTGCTCTTTTTCTTTCACCCCATTTCGATCCCTCCTGTATCCCCCCCAAAAAGCGCTCACAGCATGGTCACCAAACAAACCAGCTCAACCGAATGTTCGTTCGTGCACACTCACATTTTGATCCCTCTTTGCTGCTGTCACTCTGCTTCGATAGGTGCCGAAACAAAACCAACGAGGCTATCGACAGGCATCACATCTTTTTGACGCGTCTGCTGCTCGTTCGTTCCATTTGAACCTGCTGCTGTTCGCTCCACTCGTCCCGTGGTGCACATGACTCTTCCGACGCCTGCAAGCTCCCTCTCGTCTGCACCATTACTGCCCGACCACGAGCCATCCTTGCAAGCATCGCCGTCACCTCGAAAAAGCGCCAACCCGAGCGCCAATCCGTCGCCGCTGCAGCAGCTGCTCGCTGCGCCCGACAAACTTGGCCTGCAGTCCCCGCCCTTGCCGTCGCCGCCATCTCAAGTGGACATGTTGTCAACGTCTGATATGGTTGTGATGGCCAACTCCTCTCTCGATAGCACCGCTCTCGCAACGTCCGAGGGCGACAATCACAGTCTGGTCGCAGCAACTGCGGCTGGGCCAACGTCGCCCTGGCTGACTCCACCCCAGGACTCGGCTTCCTCCCTATTAGACAGCACCAGCAGTAATACAGACGGCAACGCTCTCAGCAACCCGTCCCAAAGTAGCAGCAATAGCAGCAGCAGCAACAATAGTAGTAGTAGTAGTCACAGTAATAATGGTCAGAATGGGAGCAATCCGAACGGCAGTATCACAAGTAGCTCTTCCAGCAGCAGCAGCAGCAACAGCTCGGACAGCGCCGCAGGCAGCGCGTCGAGCAGTAGCAACTCGTCGCCACCCATGGAAGCTTCGGCATCAGCCTTGTCCGTGCTTGACGGCCTATTGGGAGTCAACCCCCTCGCAGAACCTAGCATTTCAGAATTGTCAGCGGCGCTCTCTGCCGATGCGGCCCACTTGTTGCCCCCAATTGGTGAGGGTCCTCTAAATCTGTCCTCCTTGCTTGCTGATGACTCCGCGCCCTTGGACGCGTCCGCCTTGCCACTCGCAGCGGGTGACATGCTGGGCGCTTTGTTAACTGCTCCTGCCGACGAGGCAGATCCCCTGGCATCGTTTCTCGGCACGGCTTCGACGAGTGTCGCCGACGATGATGCAGCCAGCCTCACAACGTCCTCTGCCTTGCTTTCCGCTGCCGCGACCGGGCTCGAGGCCAATTCGGCGAATGCCGGAACCGACTCCTTGGAGGATATCATGTTCTCAATTATGGACGAGACTGTGGGAGGCCCACCGTCGGCTCTCGATGCTGCCATGCTTGGCGTCGAGGGGAGCCTGGCCTCGTCAACCGCAGACTTTTTGGCTGCTGCCGCCCAGTACGCCGCCGTTACAGCTGCCAGCGCGCCGCCGCCAATGTTTGGAGGCCCCTGCTACGACTACTACTGGGCTCTTCCAACACCAGTCTGACGACCAATACTTGCAGCTCTCTGACGACGACGTGACGCTCGACGATCTGCTGGACATGGTGCCCACCCAAGAAGCGCTCAACGACCGAATGCAAATGCTCGTGGAGCAGCAAAAGGAACTCGAGCGCCGCCACGCAGATCTGCTTGCAACCACGCGTTCAAACCACGTGCGGCACGTGCGCGAGCACCTGGAAAAGCTCGCCAACGACCGCAACCTGCGTCTGGCTGGAACGCGACGAAGGCGACCCAATGTCCATCCGGCTGCGCCGTCGCACTTTTCGGACGAAGACAGCGACATTGAGAGCCACCACGACGTACCTTCGATGCTCTTCAAGCAAAATCGGCGGCCTGCCTCGATTGTGACTGCGCGTGGCAAAGCAGTCGAGCGTCGCCTGATTCGTCGCTCTTACAAGCGCGTGCGCACCATGGAGAATGCTGCAAACGACCCCGATGCCACCGATGAGAGCGGCGATGAGACGGACGTTGAGACGCTCATTGCCGGCAAATCTCGCCACCAAACCGTCCGTGTTGATCGTCTGTTTGTGCATCCACCGCTGGAGCTGGTTCACACGAGCAGCTTCCAACGTGCACTCGACAAAGCTCGTGCGAATTTGCCAGCGGTGCCGCTCACCACCAGGCACTCGGAAACGGATCGCATTGCCACCGAGAGTGTGCTGCAAAACGCAGCAGCCCAGTACATTGGCGCTCGCCGTACGGCCGCCCTCACCCACTTGACAGAGAGCCACAAGGTACTCTGGCGGTGGCGCTGGCTTGAGCGCCAAGTCCAATTGCTGGACGAGATGCTGGTGGTGGACCGCGCGGCGCTCGCTGCTCTCGAGTCGAACAATGACGTGTCTGCCGTGCTTGCCGCCGCCGACGAGGCGATTGGTGCTGCGGACGACCAAAGTCGCGACGTTGTCCAGTCTGCAATGGTGGTCGAGAATGCAGCAGCAGCAGCGGTTTCCGAAGCAACAGACACGGACGCTGGTGCTGCCCATGCGATGCGTACCGAACTCATTGCCAACCTTGGTGGTCACCGAAGTACGCTTGTGCGCAGGCATCGCGGTATGGCCATGCTCCCGTCAGGGTCGACGCCAGCGAAGCAGCAGCAACAGCAGCCAGCGCATCCAGCGTCGTCGCCGTTGAAGGCTGGCGGTGTCAACTCTGAGCTTTGCCGTGCTCCGCAGGTGATGGCACGGCCGTTCAGTGAGAAAATTGCGCAGCTGGACCAAGATTTCCATCCAGTTCTGTCGTTTTCGACCGACATGTCGCCTGAAATGAACTTTGCGCCGTTCAACATGGCCATCACACGTGCGCACATGCAACAGCTCTATTCGCAACAGCAATCACAAGAGGCCATCGCCTTTTCCGCCGCAACACGTCCCTCCGCCCTCAATCACGCTGCCGCAGCAGCCGCGTTCGTCAACAGCATGCAGGGGTCTTCATCGGCAGGCCCCTCCGTCCCTGATTCGCAGCATGTTGTGCAGTCACTGGAGCACCAGCAGCAAGAGCTTGAGGCCCTGCAGCAACGGCTGGTGCAAGCCACAGCCAGCCTTGCCAGTGGCCGATCGTCCGAGTTTGACCCTGCGGTCGTTGCTCAGCAGCTCGCCCAATACAAGCAGTCATTGCAACAGTTGCAATTTGCCAACAACGGCAGCAGCAGCAGCGAGCACGACCCGATGATGACGGAGGATGGCGGCTTTGCTGCACCCGCTGCGCTCAAAAACCAGCGCACAACCTCGACCTCGCTGCCCGGCAGCGTGTCCCGCGCGCGCACCAACTCGTTCAGCAGCACCTCCTTGCCACCAGCGTCGTATGCAACGCCACCTCGCCTGGGCGGCAACTCACGACGTCCCTCCAGCTCAGCCCGTCCATCTTCGCTCGCCTCGTCTTTTCCATCCTCACCGCTCGGAGCTGGGTCGGCATTTGGGTCGCCTGCTCCCAGTGATCCCAACTCGCCGTTTGTCGCACCTGCAGCAGCGCGCAAAAGGCGTCACATGGACGACTGGGACTTTGACAACATGATTGTGCCGCAGAGCACGGCACGTATTGAGCGCATTCAGTACAAGGAGATTTTGACGCCCAGTTGGCGCTCCGACACCGTTGTCCCCTCAAAGAATGGAGCGTCTTCCGAAGTTGCTGGCAACGAGCCAGTGTCTGCCAGCGAGACACCCAGTGACAAAACACCCGGTGACGCCGTGCCGTCCAATGTCGCTCCTGCTGCTGCTGCTGCTAGTGCTGCAGACGAAGAGCACGAGGAGGACTTGTCGGACGAGGCCTATGCTCGCATGCACCAAGCTCTCGAAATCGCCGAACGTCGTCGCTTCCTCAACTTTGTCAATCTGCGCGATCAGACAGGGCGCCCGGGCGACGCTGCTGGCTCGTCTGGCACCACCACCACCGCCGCCGCCGCACCCCGCCCTTCGGGTGGCTCGATGGGCTTTGCTGCCATTTCGCTCCGTCAAGTGCAGCTGCAACAGCAAACTGCAGTCAGCTCGGCCAGCGAGTCCCCCGGCGACAGCAGCTCCGATGTGCCTGCTGCATCGCCTTCCGGATCGCATCAGCTCCGCGGAGTCAACCGAAAGGTTGAAGCTGCGATCGAGTTGTTTGGCAACGTCGAGGCGCTTGCTCGCAACTATGTCCAGCACTTTTCTGCTGCAGACTTTCAAGCTCAGAGCCAGTTTGAGCCACGCTCCTTCCCGATGACGCGCGCCCAGTTTGAGCAAGTTCTGACTGAAAACAACGCCATCGAGTCGCAGCTGATGAATGAGCGGCTTCGCTACGAGGAGGCCTACCGCGCGTCGCCGCAGTGGAGCGAGCGTCCGCACTACTTTTACTATGATCACATTCAAACCATCCATGGCAGGCAGCAGCCACTTCCGTTTGTCGCGGCCCCTGGTTTCATGGCTGGACATGTCATGGCTGGAGGTCTGTCGCATTCGAACGGCTACGCCGTGAAAACCGAGGACAATGACAGCGACAGCCCGGACGACGAAGACGAAGACGATGAGGAGGAGGACGACGAGCCTCAGCGAGCCAATCATGCGGATGACGAGCTGGAGGTTGAGAATGCCAACGATAGTCACGACGACCAGGACGAGGACAACCGCGACGCCGAGAACGACGATGGTGATGACAGTGATGACGATGAAGATGACGAGGACGATGAAGCGCCATCTGCATCTTCCAATCACCGCCATGCTGTCGGCGAAGACTCTGACGATGACTATAGTGTCAGCACTCCGCGCAAGCGCGACCGCCGACCTCGACCGGCTCGCGCGCGTGCTTCCGCTCCTCCTGTTCCTGCTACGTCCGCTGATGTCGCACCGCCTTCTGGTCCGCCCGTCAAGACTGTGCTCATTCTCAAGCTGGGCAAGTCGGTCATCCGGAAGGATCTTTCCGACACGCCTGCCTCCGCCGCCTCAGACGCGTTGCCAATGACCGAGTAACCCGCGTGGCTTCACACTTTTGTTCTCTCTCTCTCTCTCTCTCTCTCTCTCCCTCAAACCTGTCTTCTACCCCACCCATTCACCCACTTCATCCCACATCGAGCAGTTTTTGTGTTGGAGCGTTTTGATATTTTTTTGTATTATTATAATCAGATTTTTCATTTTTTCGACTTGCGTTTCCATCATCGCCTTTTCAGTGCAAAATAAAACAAAAAAAAAAAAAAAAAAAACTCGCAGCGCTTCAGATTTAATCACGGCTACTGTTGCGGCTGTTGCCTTTGAAGCGCATGCAACACATGAAGCTGCTCGTTCTTGCTCAGCAAGGGCAGCAGGACCAGAACGGCTTGCAATGGGGCGGACGGCGCTGTTTTGGTCGGAGAACCATTGTTCGCAGAAGGCCGCTCCACGGATGGCCCGACGACACTGACTTTTGGAGACACAGGCGGCGTCGCGGGAGCTGCTGGCGATGCACTCGAGCGAGGAGGAGGCTGTTGCTCGACGTGTTGTTTCAGATGCGACTCGTGCGGGTCGTGATGCTGGCAATTGCGGCACGCAGGGTTTGTTGGAAGGCCAGTTTGTGTTGGAGGAGACTTCTGAACTGGTCGAGATGATGGTGGAATGGCCGAGCGTTCAGCTGCGCCAACGACTGCAACACATCAGAAGAAGGGTTGGTTGAGTGGTTCCAAAACCTGTCAAAATCATCATCAACGCCGAACGCCTTTCCCTGAAGGGAGCAACAATGAGGCACTGCTCAGCCAACTACATACCCAAGTTGTCCAGTATCTGAAGCTGAGGCAGCAATGCAATGACTTGAAGGCGATAATTTGGCAGAGCGGTGACTGGGTTGTCGGAGAGCCACAGCGACCTGAGTTCTGGGAGCTTGCGCAGCCATTGCAACTCGGCGACGCTGGCTATCTGGTTGTGTCTCAGGTAGAGCTCCTTGAGTTTCAAGCACGCCCTCATTGGCTGCAAATGCGAGATTTTATTCGCGCTGGCAGAGAACGAGCATCTCAGACATTGAGTGACAGGTCCAAATCGTTACCTCCTTCACTCACTCACTCACCTCAAACTCAGCACTTCGACGTTCGCCATGCGTGCAACGATGGAAATGTCGCCAAACTCTTCGCCCCAGCAGTGCAAGTGACGCACGTCGAGCAGCGTTTTCGCGCCGGTCTTTGCGAGGACGACTGCTTCCGAGAGTGAGTTGTTTGACATGTTGAATGCAAAAAAGCAAGAGTGTGGAAATGACAACTACTAGTATTTAGATTTTGCTATTTTCTGATCGGCTCATCATTCTTGGTTTTTTTTCTTATTTTCCATTTTCCTGTTTTTCTCAGATCATCATGGCATCGCGTCGCTCGCTTTTCGGCAACGACGACGGTGGTGGCAGCGACGGCATTCGTCGGTCGCCACGCTTTAGCAACGGCAGCGATGAGAGCGGCCCTCGCGGTGGTCGTGGCGGCTTCAGCAGTGGTGGTCGCGGCGGTGGTGGTCGGGGTGGCTTCAGTGCTCGTGGCGGTGGCTTCAGCAGTGGTCGCGGCGGGTACGGCAGCCGCTCCGACAGCTACGACAGAGGCCATGACGGCGATCGTGGCAGCAGTGTGGGTCGCGGGCGTGGACGCGGCGGCAATGGCAGTGGCTTTGGTGGCCGTGGCCGTGGCGGGGCGGCTCCTCGTGGTGCAAGCAGCAGCGGTCGCTGGGACGGCCAAGGTCAGCAGCCGCCACCGCCGCCGCCGCCGCAGCAGCAGCAGCAGCACTCGATGGCCGGTCGCAGCCATCATCAGCGCAGCAGTCACAGCGGCAATCACGGCAGCGGTGGCTCTGGCGCTGGTGACCACGACGACGGCGACGACGACGGCCACGCATCTGGTTCCAACGCGTCGGCCTCGTCCGCCTCGCCCAGCAGCAACAGCAATAGCAACAGCAACAATAACAACTACAGTCGTCTGATTATCAAGAATCTGCCAAAGCACTTGACCGAGGCGCGACTTCGCGAGCACTTTGGCCGGATGCCGCTGTCCCGCGTGTCTGCCAGCCACAGTCACAGTGGCAGTGCAGGAGGTGCAGGAGGTGCAGGCGAAGACGATCTGCTCAGCGGACGCAGTCACCAAGACAATGACGATTCCACCAACAGCTGGCTCACGGGTGGCTCTGGCACTGGCAATGGCAATGGCAATGGCAATGGTGGAACGGTGCTCGAGGCAATCACCGACGTCAAGCTCGCAAAGACCGAGGACGGCCTGTTCCGCCGCTTTGGCTTCATTGGATTCAAGACACCTCAGGCTGCGCAGGCTGCGGAAGCGTACTTCCATCGCACGTTCATCGACACGTCCAGGATTGAAGTCTACCCGGCAAAGGCGATCGGCGACGCAGACATCCCACGGCCGTGGTCGAGGTACTCGGCGGGTTCGTCCGCGTTTGAGCGCAGGCAGCAGGAGCACCAGGTCATTCTGGCAGACCGCAAGACGGAGGACGAGAAGGCGCGCAAGCTGCAGGAGGCAAAGGCCAAGGCGTCCAAGGAGGCGGCCAACACTTCGTCCCTCTTGCAACAGCTGTACAACGTCGACGACGATCCAGAGCTCAACGAGTTTCTCGGGGTTGTGGCACCGCGTTCTCAGGCCAAGACGTGGGCCAACGATGACACGTCCGCACCGACCAGCGCCGCGTCCAAAAAGGCCAGCAGCAAGGCCAAGGCCAAGGCCAAGCAGGCCCAAGGCGAGGACGCTGCTGCTGCTGCTGATCAGAAAACGCGCGTCGCAAAGTCCACCATTGCTGCCGTCCAGGCAAAGCGCCCTGGCGGCGAAGGCGTGCTGTACACAAAGACCCACTTGGTGTTCGGCGACGATCAAAGCGACGACGAGAACGGCAACGACGATGACGATGACGACTACCAGGATTTGCCTGCCGCGTCGAAAGCCAAGTCAGGTCCCTCCTCCGAAGCAATGGTGCAAGACGATGACGGCGATGACGAGCAAGCTGAGGATGACGACGAGAATGTGGAGCAGCGACCCAAGCAGCAGCAGCAGAGCAAGCCGACAACAACGACAACGACAACTCCCACAGCCCCCACCGCAACAGCGACACAACCCGCTGCCGACAAACGCGCATCCAAGTATCCTGTGGTCTCGGCCGCTGAGGGTAGTGTGTCGATCGCCGAGTCGGGTCGGCTCTTTGTGCGCAATCTGCCGTATACCTGCACCGAGGACGATTTGATTGCTCTCTTTTCCAAGTTCGGTCAGCTGGCTGAGGTGCACATGCCCATCGACAAGGAAACAAAGAAACCGACAGGCTTTGCCTTTGTGCTCTTCCTCATGCCCGAGCATGCCGTGACGGCATTCCGCGCACTCGATGGTAGCACCTTCCAAGGCCGCCTGTTGCACCTGCTGCCTGCAAAGGCCAATGCGTCTGAGGACGAAGATGCAGACATGTCTGCAAGCAAGCCGCGCGAGGGCGAGGATGCGTCAGATTACCGAAAACGCAAGCAGCAGCGACTCAAATCCACCATCTCGGCTGACTTTAACTGGAACACGTTGTTCATTGGCAACAACACTGTTGCGGACGCCATCTCGTCCAAGTATGGCATTTCCAAGTCTGATTTGCTCGACCCCGAAGCGGCTAGCTTGCCCGTTCGTATGGCGCTCGCCGAAACACAAATCCTCTCCGAGACCAAGACCTTCCTCGAAGAGCAAGGTATTCATCTCGACGGCAAGGTGAATGGCGTTGACGCGGCTGGCGAAGGCAACCGCGGCGTCCTGACATCTGCACAAAAGAAACTCGAGCAAGAACGCAGTCGAACTGTGATTCTCGTCAAGAACATTCCCTTTTCTGCCACTGAAGACGAGCTGCGGCCTCTGTTTGCCAAGCATGGCGAGTTGAAGCGATTCGCCCTGCCATCGACACGCGCGTTGGCTGTCGTTGAGTTTGCGCAACCTTCCGAAGCGCGCTCGGCCTTCCGCAATCTGGCCTACTCCAAGTTCAAGCAGGTGCCAATCTATCTCGAATGGGCGCCCGTGTCGACAGTGCTGAGCGCCCCAACAAAGGCTGCTGCGCAAACAACCACAGACTCAACAGCGCCGATGCAAGTTGAGGCTGCCCCTTCTGCGAAAGCCGCGCTCAAGGCCGCAGCGAAGGCAAAGGCCGATGCTGCTGCTGCCGCCGCCGCTGCTCGCGTGGTCTCGCACACGAGCTCTGGTCCAGGTGAACAGCGCACCTTGTTTGTGAAAAATCTCAACTTTGACACCTCCGACGCCAGCCTCAAGGACTTTTTCGCGCAAGTCGCGCCAGTCGTCACGGCAACCGTTGCCCGCAAGCGAGACATGGCCCGCCCCGGCGAGCACTTGTCAATGGGCTATGGATTTGTCGAATTGCAATCGCGAGAACAGGCCCTCGAGTGCCTCAAGCGCCTGCAGGTCAGTGTTATGATCATGTGCATTTTGTCTTTGAAAGTCGTTTTGCTCATCACGATGGCTGCCCCTTTTGTTGACGTCGTAGGGCAAAGAGTTGGAAGACCACGCTCTTGAGCTCAAGTTGTCCGAGCGCGTCAGTGCCGCACCCGTCACACGCTCCAAGCGCTCGGCCGCATCTGCAGCTGAAGCCGAAGTTCCCGAAAGCACCAAACTGATTGTTCGCAATGTTCCGTTCGAAGCCACGCGCAAAGAACTGTTTGACGTCTTTAGGTATGTGGTTTTTGCTGAGGTTTTGCTGAGGGTTTTGTTGAAGATTGAGAGATGTGGTTGAGTCATTATCTCTGACTGCTTGTCCCCACACTTTTTTGGGTCTCCCCCCCCCCTCCTCCGCATTCCAACAGTCCGTTCGGTCAGCTGAAGAGTGTGCGCTTGCCACAAAAGCCGGGTGGCCAACATCGCGGTTTTGCCTTTATCGAATTCCTCACCAAGGAGGAAGCCAAGAAGGCGTTCGAATCCCTCAAAGCCACTCACTTCTATGGGCGTCATTTGGTTCTCGAATGGGCCGCCGAAGACGCTAGCGTTGAGCAGATGCGCGAAAAGACGGCCGCTCGCTTCAAGAGTAAGTTTCAGATTGCTTTGTCCCAAACGCTTGTCGGGGATGACTAATTTTGTTTCACGCTTCTCTTGTCTGAAATCTCACTCTCTCTCTCCTGTTAGGTATGACCAATGCCAACAAGCGAATCCGTCTGACAGATGCTGATCTTGAAAAATCGGTTTCCGACGACTAAAGCTTTGTTGTTTTTCGATGCCGATTTGTTTCAGTCTAATTCTCATCCTGCCACCAATACATTTTTATGCTCTCCATTCCTGAAGTCAATGATAGTGAATGATGCAATAATGAAGTTGGCACATGCACAGAATCGAAGTTTTGAAAATGATTGTATTTGGAGAAATGGAACGACAACAACAACAACAACGGCATCACAGATTGCCTCGACGCTCCTTGGTGGAAAGCCTTGCATTGGCAGCCTTGACTTTGCGCGAGCCCACAGGCTCGATGTACAACCCGGTGGCTGGAAGTTGGTGCATCACCGAAGTCACGCGCCCTGATCGCGACCTGGGAGTCGGAAGCGTCGGCTCCTCGTCAGCTGCAGTTGTTGTCGCTGACGGAACAACTGCACGCGAGCGAAGCGAACGGCGAGTTTCGGCTGCAGCATCATCGTCACTGTTGTTGGCGCTCGTGGAGGCGCTGCTGCCAACAGAGTCGCTCGACGATCGGGTGCCTCGCGCGGCCGTTGAGCGGAGGCTACGTGTCGCAGCTGGCGTGCCGACAAGCACGAGTGGATCGTCATCCTCTTCAGGGGCAGCCAGCACACCAGCGCGAGTTCGCACACGCGAGCTGCTGGCGGGGGTGACTGGAGCAGGCGCCTCAGTTCGGTCCTTGCCAGCGCGAGCTCGGGTGGAAGTGCGTGGTGTGGCAGCAGCCGGAGTTGAAACAACCTCGGCTGTCGCTGCTGGCTCGGCTTCGACAACGGCACTTCGCGTTGTGCGACGGCGACTCACGCTGCCCGGCGTTGCCGCCGTGTTGTCCACAACAAGGGTCTTGCGAGAGCGCTCGGTGGTCGCAACAGGAGTCGTAGCGGTGGATGAAGGGACGCTTGCAGCGTGGCTGCGGGTGGCGCGCGCCGAGCTGGCGGGAGCAGGGCCGGCCTTGGCCTCCGCCACACTCTCCACACTGGGTTGCGAAGGAGCCGCCGACGTATCCATCGCGTCAAAGGACGGGTTTACAAGCGCGGTTCGAGCAGCAGGTGTGGAGGACGGACGGTTTGCGAGGGCAAAAGGCGAACTGCCAAACGCTGAAAATGCAGGTGCCGCCGCTGCAGCGGGCTGTTGAGCAGGAGCTGCATGTGCTGCTGCTGCTGCTGGAGAAATGTGCTGGCGTGGCGAGGGCTCGGTGCCAGCTCCATCATCTTCCACCATGGGAACGGTCGAGTGGTGCTCCTCCAAGTTGGCAACATGGTCTGCAAACGAGGGTTCGCTCGCTGGAGGCTCGTCGTCGTCAGCAGCATCGTCCATGGCCTCGGGCAGCTCGTGATCAATGTCATCGGCGGCATCCTGGGCCGACTCGGCGGCATGGGGATCGTTGGGATCGTCGAGGACCAGAGGATGCTTGAAGGTCAGGCGCTTGCGGCGGATTGTTGCGGGCGTCTGGGGAATCTGCGGCTCGACCTGTTTTGTCTGCAGTTGGCGTGTCGTCGTCCTGCGAGCGCCCTGAGGGGTTTTCAGGTGCATGCTATGCGGCAGCACCGCTCGGGGTTGCGCTGCCGCCGAAATGTCTGGCACTTGGAACTCTGACTCTGGCGCCTCGTCTTGAGCGACACTCGCCGCAAATTCGGGCAGTCCGCTGCTGCGACCCAATCCAACAACGTCTGACGAGTAGGCGGATTTCTTCTTGAGAATCGACTGCGGTGTGCTTTGTGCCACGCGCTTGGCACTGTTTGGCACGGACGGCACAGCTTCCTTGGGCAACGGCGAGTGGAAGACAAGGCGGTTTTCGGGCAGCACGGCCTTTGGTCGAACGGGCGAAGACTGTGCAGACGGTTGAGAGAGGGCCAGTTGCTGCTGTTGCTGCTGTTGCTGCTGCTGCTGCTGCTGCTGCTGCTGCTGCTGCTGCTGCTGATCTTGTTGGAAGACATCAGTGAGATTGACCGGAATCAGCGTCTTGATCCTAGAACGAGGTGAGAACTGCTGCATAGGATGCTGCGATGAAGGAGTGCGGCGAGCGGCGGTCGGCGTTCCTCGTGCCGCACTTCCCGCAGCAGGGCTGGCGACGCGAAGAGCCTTACGAACGGAACGCGCCGACGACGGGGTCAGCAAGAAGGCCTCCGCCTCAGCCACGAACGGAGGTGGTGATACCATGGTCACATCCAGCCCAGAGTCACCAACACGCGTCAGGCGCTCGACGCTCATGAGTGGCGTCCGGTTCGGGGTGAATGGTGCGCGCACAAGTGCCTGAGGGGTTCCAAACCCACTCGCGCCAGCGTTCGCCGGCGGAGGAGTGCTGGGGTTGCCGTTGCCCAGCTGGAGCGCCAAGTCTGAGGCCGCAGACTCGCTCAGGACGGTTGTAGCAACAGCAGCACGAGCCATGAGCGCATCGACCAACTCTGGTTGGGACAGCGAAGCCGAGCGCCCGCCACGAATGGCCGACAGCGGCACCGGCTTCAAGGCCGACACAATCTTGTGCAGAGGGCGAGCTGCTGCTGCCGCCGCAGGTGCCAGGGTGTTGGAGGGCAAAAGACCTGGGGCCTTTGCCGGCTGCAGTGCTTGCTGGATGAGCTGATTTTGCTGGCGTTCAAACTGCTGCTGTTGGGCGGCGAGATCGGCACGCTTGGCGAGGTGCGCTTGGGACTGCGGAAGGAGTTGGAGTGCATCCTCGGCCAGTTTGACAGCCACTTTCTTGGCCATGGCCAGCTGCGATGCTGGAGCCGAGGACGATGACGCCGCCGCGCGGTCGATAGAGGAGGAGATTTTCTGAGCAGACTGGTACGCTTCAACGTAGCGCGCGCGTTGCAGGTAAAACATGCTCAAGAACGCCTGCGCCTTGTCAGGGCAGATGGATGGCAAAGAGTCGACCAGCACTTGCTCTTCGGTCGCAGAGAGAGGCAGGCGCAAGACCAAATCCAACGCGCGCACCGAATGGCAGCCCTCAAAGAAGGCCGAAATGATTTCTTTGGCCTCTGCCGGCAAGCTGGCGCGGCCCTGGCAAAGCTGCTGAAACTCAAAAGCCTCGACCACAAGATTGTTGGCAAGGAGGACTTGCAGATAGAGCACATTGGCGCGGAGGTTGACAAGGAACGGCGCGACAGGTGACGCGCGCAGGAACTGCAACGCCTCGACATGGCGCCCTTGGATTTGCAGGGCACGCGCAATGTGCACCGCCATAGTGCCAGCGACCAGGGGTTGCACGGTCGGGTCACTCAGCAAAGGAACGATGGCAGACTCGCCGTGGTCGAGCCGCCACAAGCCCTGGACCAACTTGCGCTGCGTCACAGGGAAGGCAAACGTGCGAACAAAGTTCTCGACCACGAGCTCAAAGCGGCGCAACTGTGGCGATGCAGGTGCATGAAGGGCCAGCAGATCTTGCAAAAGATAATAGACGACAGCCTGGCGCGAGCACGCGCGCGCGGTAAAGCTTTCGTGCACGGCAGAACTGGGTGCACCAGCGCGTGTACCGACAAAGCCCGATGCGCCCACTCCAGTGTTGTGCAAGCTGTTCAACAGCATGAGCAGCGATTGCGGCGGGTAAGGAATGGACGAAGGAGATTCGGCGTCGGACTTTGATTGCGGGACGACCGACGACGGAACACCATTCGAAGAGGAGGCGGAAGAGGAGGAGGAAGCGTAGGCTCGGGCGGCAGTGTCGTCAAAAGTGGCAGCATCCGAAACAATCCGGTCGATGAACAGGATGGGCGAGATGGACGAAGCACGCAATCGATCAAATTTGCTCTTCAGCGTGTGTGCGGGGAAGACAAACACGCGGTTGGACGCCGGCGTTTCATCCACTTCCATGGGCGCGCTGCTGGAGGCGACAGAGTCGCGGTTTTCGGGAAGCAGACCATTCTCGACGGCCCAGAGAAGCAGCTCAAGATGCTGAGCAATGTAAACCGATTCGTTCATCTTGGCACGCAGGTCTTTCTCACCCTCGGCGGTCGTCTTGCGGTGCAAAAGCGCCCCAAACACGGCACGGAGGCGCTGGAGTTGGGCCAAGTACTGGTGCAGCGAGCGAATGGAATTGTTACGCAGGGCCTCGGGAGACACGGCCTTGTCCTCTTCGGCCAAGCTTTCGTGCACGCTGGAGATGGCTTGGCACAGGGAACGCAGCGCATTGCGGGCCCACTCCAAGACGGGCAGCGGCGACAGGAGATACTGGCCGTCAGACCCCTTGAGCGTCACAAAATCGCGGATGAGCGAACAAAGTCCATTGTCGAAAATGGTGTCGAGCAGCAACTTGCGGTGGGTGTCGGGAAGCAACATGGTGTTTCGCGGAGGATGCGCGACAAGACCTGCAGTCAGACATTCGCCCATGACCAGATCGGGGCGAGAGATGACCTCCGGTCCGAGACGCGCGATGGCTGTGAGCACGGATTGTTGGTAGCCGGCGCAGTCAACGGTGGATGCGACACCCGGATGCAGGCACGCAGCGTTGAACGAGAAGGGCATTGGCCACGAAAAGCCCTCGGCCTGGGTCTGCGCCGCATCAAAAGTCGCCGACACATCCACACCCGCAATGGAAGCCGACTCGAACTTGTGGACGCTGGTAACATCCACAAGCACATCGAGCGTGGGGACGTAAAAGACTGTCTGCAATGTCTCGGGCACACCGGAAATGACAGAGTCGAGCTTGGCCAGGCGATTGAGCGTGCGCGCCGCAACGGAGTGGCTTGTTTCGGCAAGAACGAGCGCCGCGTTCGCTTCGCACTCGCGCAGCCGATAAAAGCTCAAAAATGAGCAGAACTGCGCGGACAGGGCTTCGACCTCAGACGCTGGCATGTCAGCGGAAGCGGCGGACACGAGATCAAGGTCAGAGATGACGGGATAACGGGGCTTGGTGAGCCGTGCGCTTGGTGGCTGCCGGTTTTTGTACCATTCGACCGAGTCGAACAGGGCTGCCAGCACGGTTCGGCCAGATGCGGGCGACACGGACTCCCAGACAAACATGGCTGCGACGGATGCATCCGCCTCGGGCTCTGCTTCCGATCTTGCCCGCAAACTTTCGCCCAGAAAACGCACAGAAATGATGCGAGAGCTGCACAATGCGCTCGCGTCGTCGCTGTCGCTTCCTTTGGCAGAAATGGTCTCGGCACCCAGGGGGTGACGGAACCGCTCGGTGATGCTTTTGAGCTGTCGGAAGCGGGGCCGACCCTGAACGACATGACCAGCCTTGTATTCGAGCTGGAACAGACTGACAGAGGAGACGCATGGCGAGACTTCGGCATCCAGCTCCAATCCGAACAGCATGTTCAAGACGGAGCCGTTCGGCAAGTCGCTCAGCAGGACATTCGTCGCTGCGTCGCCGTCGCCGCCGCCGCCGCTGTTCGGTCGCTGCTGGTTGCGTTGCTGGCGAAGCGCGACAAGCGACAACATGCCCAGATGGGGCAGCAATCCGCGGCCCACCCAGAGCTGCGCGAACGCATCATCGTTGGCGGGGAGTTGGATGCAGAGATGCGACACGATCCGAGCCAAGGGAGACTGCGACTCGTCCTTGTCGGGCTCCACAAGCCACGTGAGCCCGTCCTGCAGAGCAGCGGTGACCAGCTCTCGCACTTGGAACTGGCCGGCAGTGTTGCCAGCGACGAGGACGTGCAGGTTGCGCATGTACTTGATGCAGGTGACGGCGCCACTTTGCGGACTGAAGCCCGGAATGAAAATGGCAATACGATTTTCGTTCGACAGCGAGCGGAAGACCTGGCTTGCATCTTGAGGAAACTTGTTCTTGTCTGGCTGCACGACATGCGGGGCGCAGATGGCAGTGCTTGGTGTCGTGTCGCCGTCATTGTGCGAGCCGCTACCCGGCGAAGGTGGCGACAAGTCCAAAATCATGATGCGACCAGACTTGGAACCAACGGCCAAGAAAGTTGCCACCACTTGGCACGGATCTGCCGTTGGATCCACGGGGGCAATTTCGTCAATTTGCATGGGAGCGAACGCGTCAGGCGAGCCCGACTCGGACTCCAGCCCACCAGCCAGCAAGCGGATGGCAGGATGCGACTCGGCCAACCAGGCGCGCTCGAGCGGCACGGCCGCAAGCGCAGTGATAGGTGTGTTGGGCTCGACGTGCTCGATACAGACGAGCACGCGTGAAGAAAACGGATCCAAAACGCTCACAAACGACGCAACCACCGCGTGCGGGGCGGTGGGTGTCGGATCAAGCACGGTGACGGCGGCGCAAAGCGTTGTCGGGGGTGTCGAGTCATCGCCAGTGACGCTGAGCGTGAACGGGGCCATCTCCACAGCAGTGATAACGCAACGGAGCGGCGACTCGGACAGCAGCGAGGACGACACACTGGACGACGATGATGAAGCAACCCCCGACGATGCGTTCGCGCTCGACTGGCGTTCGCTCACCAAGCTTCGCACAGAGCGATGGCCGCGCGTGGCAAGCGAGCCGTCCAGCGCAGCGGCGCGAATGGCCTCCGGCAGCAATGCCCAAGCGTGGAGCGTTGCGACCATCCTTCCCTCTGGCATCTGCGTTACGGTCAAGGCGGACAAGTCGCCGCTCAGCGTCCAAGCCAGCAAGCGGTCCGACTCGGATCCACCAGCAGCAACAGTAGTAGTAGTAGTAGCTTGGGTCATAGTGGTGGTGCTCGTGAAGCTTGGCTGGTCGCGCTCCTCGGCAAAGCGCCCCATGGCAGGCCACCCGGCCAGCAGCTGCTCGTGGGCGATCTCGGTCTGCTCCAGGTCGGCCTCGATCTCTGCTGATGATGAAACAAAAGCGTCGTCGTCTCCTGAGCGCGACCTTCGTCCCGCATGGCTTGCGTTATTGGGATTGCTGCTGCTGCCGCCGAGCAGGAACGAGAGCGACGAGGCTGCTCTGTTGAACAGTCCCTGCCTCTGCTGCTGCTGTCTCTGCTGCTGCTGTCTCTGCTGTCTCTGTTGATGCGTTGTGCGAGGTGTCTGTGTCTGTGCGCCCACCGTGGCTGAGGTCGCGTTGGACGAGCGCGCGGGCGACGCCAATGCAAACGAGCGATCGCGGCTTTGTTCGTCGTCCATCTCATCGTCGTCGTCGTCGTCGTCGTCGTCGTTATGAGCATTGTCATCATGGTCACGGTCATTGTCATCGTCGTCGCTGAACTGACTCGCGTGGTCGGCGGCAGAGTCGTTGTTGAAGCGGTCGTCGTCGTCGCTGTCGCCACGAGTGCGATGGCGGGAAGATCGGCCGCGACCACTTGCACTCAGTCCTGCTCCTGCTCCTGCTCCGGATGGTCGAGCGAGCAAGTCCTGCTGTCCAGTCGGAAGCAGTGAGAAGCGCACGTCGCTCGGCTGCAACGGCACAACGCTCATTGTGGCTCGCTTTGTGTGTGTGTGTGTTTTTCTAAGAACTGGATTTCGAATCTGAGCAGCGTTTGGAAAAACAAAGAGAAACCAATATGAAAAAAAGACTGCTCTGATGATTGTGATCGTCTCTTCACTGTGCTGTGCTTTCCATTTGACTGTTCGTCACTCACTGTTCTTTGTATTGTGATCCTTCCTTCATTCACTGCTGCTGCTGCTGCTGCATCGCTTTTTTGCGTTTTTTTTGGTGCCTCACTCCTCGTTTTTATTATTATTATCATATTATTGTTATTCTTACTATTTGGATTTCTGGTTTCTCAGAACTGCGTTCTTGTTTTCTGAGCGTCGTTTAGTTTCTTGCTTCATTCATTCACTTCATTCATTCATCCAAACGCAAGAATAACAACACCCCCAACACTATTCAAAATGGGCTCTCTTGTCGAGCAACATGCTGCTGCGGCGGCATCATCGAGCGGCGGCGTTCCTGGTCGGCTGTACGAGCTCTTCACTGGCATTGAGGCGCAGTTTGAGGTTGTGCTGGACGAGAACCGCACGCTGCGAATGCAGGTCCAGCGGCTCGAGCAGCAGCTCCTGGCTGAGCGTTCGCACCACCAGCAGCAACTCCAGCTCTTGCGCAGCAGCCAACCACAGCCGGCGGGGGTCGCAGGCAACGGCACGACGGCTGCTGGTGCTGGTGCTGGTGCTGGTGCTGGTGCTGGTGCTGGTGCAGGCCACCCGACCGCCGCCGCCGCCGCCGCCGCTGCTGCTGCTGCTTCTGCTTCACCCTCTGCCACTGCTGCCGCTGGACAAGGCAGTACGACAGCGTCAGCGCTGATGGGGGCGTCGGCGGGATCGGCTGGGAAGACCGCCGTATTGCCGCTCACCGTCGGCGCGGTCGCAGCTACCGCTGGAGCAAGCCAGTCCGCAGTGATGATGACGGGCGGTGGAAGCACGACTGGGAGCACGATCGGTGGCTCTGCAGGCGAGCACGATGGCGCCGGTGGCATGCCCGGGATTCGCAAGGCGTTCTCAAAGTCGCTGCTCGTGTCGCGCAAGCTCGAGGAGGCATACAAGCGGTCGACCAGCAAGATGGCCAACTCGCTGAGACAGACGCAGAGCAAGTACGGAACGCCGCGATGCGTGCTTGTGCGCGAGATGTGCGGACATCGCGATGGACTGTGGGAGGTCAATTCGTGCCCAATCTTGCTGGACGACGGCTCGTTCTTGATTGGCACGGCCTCGGCAGATCGCACCGCAAGGCTTTGGCATTCTGATCGTGGAGTTTGCCTTGGGTTGTACACTGGCCATGCTGGCTCTGGTAAGCGGTGTTTTGATTATCTTGTTTGCCGAATCGTGCGTTTCTGTGCGTTGCTCATGCTTTGTTTTTGTTTGTTTGTTTGTTTGTTTGTTTGTTTGGGCACAACTTGATCTTGCCTAGTCAACTCCATTCGATTCCACCCAACCAAACCGCTCGCGGTGACGGGCTCCGGTGACAAGACAATCCAGATTTGGCGGCTGCCTCCGGCACTGTTTCAATCCGCGTCGATCGCCGCGCTTGCGCAGCAGGCAGTTGAAGAAGACGCCCAGCACTTTGGTGGCGTCATCGATCACGAAAATGTGCTTTTGGAAGCGATTGGTGCCGAAGAAAGGGCTGGGGAGAGCGTGGTGGCGCAATGGACGCTCGCCTCGCAGCAACCGTCCAAGCCTCCTGCGCCCACCAATTCCAAACAGCAGCAACCCTCTCAGGCAGTTCCTCCCGCGTCAGCATCATCTCGGACGGCGAAGCGCGATTTCGTTACAGAAGATAGCATTGGGGATGTTGACGACGAACTAAGTGGCGACGAAGGCAACGACTATCTGGATCACAATGTCCGATTCAATCCTCGCCGACAGCATCCCTCGCAGTCGTCGTTTTCAAATGATGATTCCTCGCCTGCGCCAGGCAACGCCACCACCGCTCCGCTGCCAGCGGTCGATGCCAACGCAGCAGCCGAGCCCTCCATTCCCGACACCAGCGCTACTGGCGATGCGTCACCAGCTCCACGCATCACGCTGAGCCCGTCGCTCACACTCGCCAATCACGACGGCGTCGTTTGTGCTGCGTCGTGGATGAACGGAGCCATGTCCGACTATATTTTGAGCGGCTCGTGGGACCGCACTGCACGACTATGGGATGCCAACACGGGCACGATGACACAGCTGTTGCAAGGCCATGATGCCGAGCTGACAAACGTGTCTACCGATCCGACCCGAGAACTCGCGCTGACTTCTTCGCTTGACACCACCTTCCGCCTCTGGGACTTCCGAACTCCATCGCAGCGATCCGTCCACGTCTTCCAAGGTCATAATGCGTGAGTGTCTAGCCTATTTTTGAGGGTGGTAGAGTCTGTATCGATGTTTGTCGTCTGGTGTGCTGACAATCTCTGATGGCTCCGTCCCCCAAAAAAAAAAAAAAAATTCAGACCGGTGACCACTGCCGTTTTTTCGCACCAGCCCGACATGTTGGTGAGCGCCGGCGAAGATAGGACGATTCAAGTAAGGTGTCTTTTGCGCGCAGAGGACTCGAGGTCATTGATGTGATTTTGTGGTTCGCTAACTCGCCTGCTTTTGCTTTTGGCCTTTTTCTGTGTATTTATTTTATTTTTCGATTGTCGTCCTGATAGATCTGGGATATGAAGAGCATGCGAGCCCCAGTTACCATGATCCGCACCAGTGCTGGCTGCAATCGGTGCGGTCTCAAAACATAGAAATCCCAAAGTTGTTGTTGCGTGTCGTCTCATCGTTCTCTGCCACCTTTGGTTTTCTAGATTGTCGATTTGCCCGAGTCGGTCTCTCATTGCGGCTCCCTTTGACGATCGACATGTGCGCATTTATGACTTTAAAGGGAATCAAGTGGCACGAATGGGTCGTCACAACCATCAGGTAAGCAACTACAGCATGTTTGTTTGGATGGCGGCGTGAAACGGACAGATTGTGCATTAACCGATTCGCCCATTCACACACAGGGTCATGAACGAATGGTTGCGAGCACAGCATGGCAGCCTGCCAACACGTCGCTGGTCGAAGCTGTTCCCTTCACGTGCGGCTTTGATAGCAGAGCGATTCGATGGCAACTACCTCCAACACTTGCAATTTAGAGCTGTCTTGCTCGTAGAGATTTCTTCATCGTGTCAAACAATGTCATTGTTTCAATGATTTTTTTTTTTTTTGGTATCCACAATTACACACGTTGGAACGAAGCCTTCAAGCACGTTGCAATCGCACTCATTTTTTTAACATTCATCCAACTGCTGATGAGGCGTCTTTTTAGGCGGGGACGAGGGTGACAGCCACCACGCCCTTCGGAGCGACTTGTGCGTCGAAAGTGCCAGCGTACAACCCAACGTTCTTGTGCTGCCAGACATCACGAGCAGTGTACTTGCTGCCGGCAGTGAGACCAAGCTCGGCCCAGGTCACGGTCATGTGCGCACTCAGCAGCGGATCAGTGTTGAACAGCACAACGGCAAAGCGGCCATTGGCAAGGGGCGCCATCCAAACTTCCGAGAGGAGGCCGCGCTTGACACGATGACCCTGAATTCCCAACGAATCTGGAGAATGTACCAACAAGAATATAGTACAAGGTGTTAGCAAAGAGCAACTCTGTCAACAGTTCAAAACGACGATGGGAATTTTCGCGGGCTCACCTTGGTTCCACTCAATCACCTCAGTGTTGGTCAGAATGCGCAGAGTGTCGTTGGTCATCTTGGTAACATCGCAGCCGATGATGAGCGGAGCCTTCATCAGCGCCCAGAGCGTAAAGTGGGAAGTGTACTCGGTGGTCGACAGCACGCCGTTGCCAACTTCCAACATGTCGGGATCGTTCCAGCCACCGGGACCTGCAGCCTTCCACAAGGGCTCGTTGGCTTCGAGGATGGTGATGATGCGGCTCCAGCTGTCGCTCACGTCGCCGGTGGTGCGCCAGCTGTTGCCAACCGGGGCAGCCCACTTTGCCGGGTCGTAGTCGCCCCACTCGCACATGGAGAAGAAGATCGGGCGACCAGTCGCGTTCAGAGCATCACGCATGACGGGATAGCGAACCATCGGAGTTTGATCCGCCGGTGCGTTGCAGTTGTCGTACTTGAGGTAGTCCACGCCCCACGAAGCGTACGTTTGCGCGTCAATCTTCTCGTAGCCGAGCGATCCGGGGCGACCAGCGCAAGTCTTGGTGCCAGCATCCGAGTACACACCGAAAAGCAGGCCCTTGGAATGCACATAGCTGGCCAGTGCTGCAATGCCGCTCGGGAATGCGACCGGATCGGCGACAATCACGCCTGCGGCCGTGCGGTTGAGCGCCCAGCAATCGTCCAGGTTCTGTTTTTGTTTTTTGTTGGTTTTTGCCAAGCAAGGAGAAGGAGAAGCCCAAGATAAGCATGACAATCAACTAACGTTCCCATGACACCTCGCTCGACCAAGATAGGCATTGTCCACATGCTTACAATGTAATTGTAGCCGACCGCTGTCAACAAGCGTTTCCAAAATCACAACAAGAATTTCCCAAATCACAACAAGAGTTTCAAACAGTCCAATTGGCATGAGATCTCACACACCACAAAAGCAGCCGCCACAACATGTAGCATATGTAGCACGTGACGCTACCTGTCAGTCCAGTGTCGATCATGGCGTCCACGGTGCTGCGAATGATCGTCTCGTTAATGTTGCAGCCGAAATGGTTCCAAGTATTGAATCCTTGAGTCAACAAAGGCGCACAAGTGAGCGACCAGACAAACCAGCCACTTGCAGCAACCCCCCCACCACCACCACCACCACCACCTCATGCACCAGACAATGGCATGTTGCTGTGCTCTCGTGTGATTCGTCGCAACGTTCACCGAGTGGAGGAGTGGGGCAGGCTGGGATGAAATTGGGAATCACGGCCCAACGCAGCCCCACTCCGATCGTTTCGCATCCATACGGTTTTGGACGATCGCTGACAAGCGCGCAAAAAAGGAGACACCGAACAAAGTCCCCGCTCAGACACAGCGATCGAGTGCAGACACACGCGCGGTCACGGAGCCAGAGCGACGGGAAACCCCCATGTGAGTACGAGACGTGTGGCTGACAGATGTCCCCCTCACCCATTTGCGGCGTCCTGCCAAGACCATTGTCCAGACCAACGCTGGATGCAACACACAGCGCAGCAACGACAGCAGAGATCAGCAAGAGCTTCATGATTGAAAGAAGAAGAGGAGGACAAGAAAAAAAAAAAAAAAAAAAGAATCAAAAGCAGACTGAGCACGAACTGACGAACAAAACGGGCAGAGCTGGTGACAATTGTGACTCACTACAAGCAATAATGTACGACGTGAACTTGCGAGCTGTGAAGGAAGAGCATTTTATTGAGGCTCGCGAAACGAGAACGTCGTCCCGGAGAACAAGTTGATGCTGAAAAAAGGGGACCAGATCAACTATTCAAGCAGCCACATCCACGCAAAAAAGCGCGCCTCGTTCGATGATTTGGCACACAACCCCTATCTGAGCCAAACCAAGCACACTTTCCTACTGGAATTGTGCCGGCTTTTCCAAAAACAAATCCCAGAGACCCGCGAAACGCCCCGCATCTCCTGCCTGCCAGTGTCCCGCCTCGGGCGTTTGTTGCTCGAATCGGCCAAGGGACTTGTCCTCGCCATAGCAACACGCTCTCCCACCAGCGCAAACTCCAGTCATAACTATGCTGAATGATGATGAGATGCGTGGATTGAGAAGGGTACAGAGTCACAGTTGCAGGCATCCAAATCACCATCAAACCAAACCCGTCTCGTCCACTTTGCGTTGAAGCAGGACACAATCCCATCATACTCGTAACAGCACGCTCAAACTCAATAGGGACTGAGAGTGACGGCAACCACACCGTGGGGAGGAACCTCGGCGGAGAAAGTGCCTGCGTAGAGGCCAACGTTCTTGTGCTGCCAGACGTCGCGAGCCATGTACTTGGCACCAGTCTTCAGACCAATATCCGCCCAGGTGGTGGTGATGTTTGCGGTCGCCGAGTTGTCGACGTTCAAGAGCACAAGAGCATAGCGGTTGTTCGAGAGCGGGCCAGCCCAGACTTGGGAGTTGCCGACCGACGTGAAGCGATGGCCCTGGACGCCAAGCGAGTCTACAAAGCGGGCAAAACCAGATTGATGTGAGAGTTGAATGGGGTTGGATCGAAGGAGGGTGAAAGAAGAAGCGGGAAAACGAAAAAAAAAAACAAAAAAAAAAAAAAAGAGTTGAGCATTACCACACAAGCTTACCTTGATTCCACTCAATCAGCTCCGTGTTGGTCAGGATGGCCAGAGTGTCGTTCGACATGTTGGTAATGTCGCAGCCAATGATCAGCGGGGCTTTCATGAGCGACCAGAGAGTGAAATGGGTGCGGTACTCGGTAGTGGTCATGCCACCGTTGCCAACCTCAAGCATGTCAGGGTCGTTCCAGCCACCGGGGCCAGCAGCTTGCCACAGCGGCTCGTTCTGGTCGACAATGCCAATCATGCTCGTCCACGAGTCGCTAATGTCGCCAGTGGTGCGCCAGCTGTTGCCAACCTTACCAGCCCAGCTGGCCGGGTTGTCAACACCCCACTCGCACATGGAGAAGAAAATCGGACGGCCAGTCGCGTTCAGGGCATCGCGCATCACGGGGTAGCGAACCTCGGGCGTCTGGTCGGAGGGAGCGTTGCAGTTGTCGTACTTGAGGTAGTCAACGCCCCAGGAGGCGTAAGTCTGGGCATCGATGGTCTCATAACCAAGAGAGCCAGGGCGGCCCTCGCACGTGTTGGTGCCAGCGTCCGAGTACAAGCCAAACAGCAAGCCCTTGGAATGAATGTAGTTGGCCAGCGCAGCAATGCCGCTGGGGAAGGCGGTCGGGTCGGCCACAATCACGTTCTGAGCCGTACGGCTGACTTGCCAGCAATCGTCGAGGTTCTACCCGGCAAAGGGGGGAAAAGGACAGGAGCGTGAGTTGCAGCATCGTTGAGCAGGAGAGAAGACGAGCACCGCAAAAAGCCCACTCTTCCAACCCACTGCAGCCACGCGGCATAACCATGTCGCAGAAAATACTTACAATGTACTTGTAACCAACGGCTGAAATCCGAGAAGCCGAACGAAGAGAAAATGTGCGCAAGCAAACAAACAAACAAAAAGCGTCGTGAGAACCATTTCCAAACATGTCAGCTCCAATCCAGCACCCAATCGCTCAAATAGCAGAACATGTCAGCTCTGACAGGACATGCTACGCGAGCTGCAGGGTTGACTGGGCGGGACACACTAAAGTCCATTCGCGGTGCTGTAAAACCCGGTTTTAACTCCAATCCAATTCGCTCTGCTTCCACTGGGCAGAGCGCCCTTCGACCATCACCGCCAAGCAACCACTATTGCTTGAGCATGCCATGTTTCCCAATGCATCATTGAGAGAGAGAGGGAGTGGATCCGCGCTGGCTGATGGGCTCGCCGCTCGTCATTCTGTTTCACCCGTCGGCAATGATTATGCATTGAGGTTGCGCTCCAACGAACTCACCAGCGAGACCCGTCTTGAGAAGCGAGTCGGCAGTGTTGCGGATGAGCGTCTCGTTGATCGTGCAGTGGAACTTGTTCCAAGTGTTGAAGCCTAGCACACACACCCCAACGAAATCAAAGCAGTCAGGTCTCAATCCAAATCTCGGCTCGTTGGCAAGGCGCTTCCGCCGTCACCCCTCCAATCCCCCGAAAACAATTGCTAGGTTGTTCAAGAACGGAAAAAGGAAACCACACTCACCCATCTGCGGAGTGCGCGCGAGACCGTTGTCGATCGCGACGGACGAAGCAGCGAGCGCCGCAATGCACACGGCAGCCAATGCAAGCTTCATTGTGAAGAAAGATTGAATAAGGAGGAGTGGTGGAATAATAACAGCATGGATGGTACAAAACATGCACAGCAGGTGGGCAAACATGAAAGTTTCCACAACTTTGAAGAGAATGAAAGAGAATGAAAGTGCAGAAGCCGCGTTGGTTTTTTCCAGCTCTGAGACAACTCCAATGATGGTAATGTTCGACAATACCTGCTTGATATGCTCTACAGGAGTTATGTTTTGATTTCTGATACAGTACTGGCAGTCGGCGCTCAATGAGGAGAAGGACCACTCTTCACACACATTCACACGCTCGTCATCATGATTTCATCGTCGGTGCTGGACTTGGGCCACAAAATCATCGTGTCGGCGCTTGTGCTCACGACGATTGTCAGTCTGGCTGAGGTCAGCGGCAAGGGCTACACGAGTCTGCGCCGAAGCTACGGCGTCATGGTGAGTTAGCGAGCCCGTTCGGTGTTTGGTTTTGAGAGTTTGGTCTGGTGGGGCTCACTGGCGCCGATCACCGTGGAAACCAACACCATGCATTGCTCGCAAATCATACCAGCAACAACAAAAAGCCGAGGAAGCCGCGCGGGAGGCCGCTGCGAAGGCAGGGGAAGGCTTTGTGACAGAGTCCACGAGCCAACCACGATGAGACGATGCTTTGGCCACCCAAGTCCAAGCACGCAGTGGCTTTTTTTTCCACTTTGAATCTCAAAATCGGGCCAAGTACCATTTGCTCAATCAAGCGGTTTGGGTTGACCTGCGCTGTGTGGGTCGCTGTCGCTGGTGTTTTCTCGTTGCTGTTTGGCTTTGCTGCTCGTATTGGGTGCCATTCACTGCTCAACCACTGTGACTTGTAACAATTTTAACTGTGTATTATTGACATTCTATTGCATGCATTGTTGATCTCGTCTCCGCATTGAATCACAGTTGCGCTGAAACTCCAAAAACCCAAAAATCCAGTGAGGTGCCTGTGCGATCATCGATTCATCTATTAAACTCATTATCCTGCTCGACATTCTACAACTAAACAAAAGCATCTCCGAGACCATGGACTTTTGATCATCAGAAGTGCTTTCTGAGATTGGCGTCATCGTTTTGCAGTCACTTTTTTTTTTGTTTTTTTTTTTTCTTCAACGGTAATGCAACTTCCAGCCAAAAAAAAAAAAAAAAAATATTCGCGATCTCGAAATTGTGATTCAGTTCAATTTGTTCCTTTTGTTGTCGTGCTGTTCTCGCACTTCAGCCCAGCAGCCATATTGCGTTGCGTTCCATGAGCTGTGGTTGCTTTCGGTCTGATGCTCTCTCTCTCTGCTTTGTGATGGAGCGCGGGCGCAGACAGCTTTATTTTTTTTTTTTTTTTTTTTTTTTTTTTGGTTCCTGTTTCGCGAACTTCCGCCGTTTTTGCCTTCGCTTTCGACTATGCCCTGACTGGCCATCGCTCACCAAACACCAAATCTCTAACACTTGTCCTCTTATGCTTTCTTTTTATTTGCCTCAACCGCGCGCAGAAGAAACGCAGAGATGGTCGTTGAAGCGGCTTCTTCTGCAGCACCAAACGCAGTCGCGCTGGACGGGATGTCGGACGAGGACCTCTTCCTGACGTACAAGCGCTTGCAGCGCCAGCTCGAGTTCCTGCAAATCCAGGAGGACTACATCAAGGACGAGCAGAAAAACCTCAAGCGCGAGTACCTGCGCGCCCAGGAGGAGGTCAAGCGCATCCAGTCTGTGCCGCTCGTCATTGGACAGTTCCTCGAGGCGATTGATCACAACACGGGCATTGTGGGCGCCACCACTGGCTCCAACTACTATGTCCGCATTCTATCAACGCTCGATCGCGAGCTGCTGAAGGCCAGCGCGTCGGTGGCGCTGCACAAGCACTCGAATGCCCTTGTCGCAATTCTGCCCCCGGAAGCCGACTCGAGCATCCAGATGCTCGGAGCGGACGAGAAGCCCGATGTCTCCTACGGTGACATTGGTGGCCTGGACATCCAGAAGCAGGAGATGCGTGAGGCCGTCGAGCTTCCGCTGACCCACCACGAGCTCTACAAGCAGATCGGTATCGACCCTCCGCGCGGTGTCCTCATGTGGGGACCGCCCGGCACTGGCAAGACCATGCTTGCCAAGGCCGTCGCACATCACACCACGGCATCCTTCATTCGCGTCGTCGGCTCAGAGTTTGTGCAAAAGTACCTCGGCGAGGGCCCGCGCATGGTGCGCGACGTCTTCCGACTGGCCAAGGAGAACTCGCCCGCCATCATTTTTATTGATGAAGTCGACGCCATTGCCACCAAGCGCTTTGATGCCCAGACCGGTGCCGATCGCGAAGTGCAGCGTATTCTGCTCGAGTTGCTCAATCAGATGGATGGTTTTGATCAGAACGTGAATGTCAAGGTGAGTTTTGATGAGGGTTGTCGGATCTGTGGGGCATGGTGTAGAAGGAAGGAAGGAAGGAAGGAAGGGAAGCGACTGTTTCTGACTGGTTGTCATTTTTTTTTTTTTTTTTTTTTCCGATAGGTCATTATGGCAACCAATCGCGCCGACACGCTCGATCCTGCCCTCCTCCGTCCAGGCCGTCTTGATCGAAAGATTGAGTTCCCGCTGCCCGACCGTCGCCAGAAGCGTCTCATTTTCACGACAATCACCAGCAAGATGAACCTGTCGGATGAAGTTGATCTTGAAGATTGTGAGTTTTTCTCTTCCCCCCCCCCCCTCTTTTCCGTGTGTCGACAATGTTGGATTGAGAGTGGCTGACTGCTCTCTGTTGTTGTCCTTTGCTTCCAGTCATCTCTCGTCCGGACAAGATTAGTGGCGCCGAAATCTCGGCCATCTGCCAGGAAGCTGGCATGCAGGCCGTTCGGAAAAATCGTTATGTTGTGTTGGCCAAGGACTTTGAGAAGGGCTACAAGAACAACGTTCGCAAGACCGAGACTGACCACGAGTTCTACAAGTAGACGAGTTGACTACAAGTCTTTTGATGTCGAAATGAGTTTGCGTGTTCCATCTGTGCACAGAAGCTTCCAAATCCAAACCAAATTTTCTATTGTACTGTACTTGAACTGCCGTTACCCATTTTCGCTTCCGTATTCCATTCACGCACAATACTGTTGATTCTGAATGTTTTAGACGATGATGGGTCATTCTATTTCTTCTCCGCCCGTTTGCAATGGACGGCAGCGGCGGTGTTGTGCACGAGCGCAAGCCGTTGACGGTGAACTGCCTGATGCCCCATGGCCTTGTGCTCAGCGTCGAGACCATGAACGACGTGTCCCTCGCCGAGTTCAAGGACACTGTGTGGCGCAAGGCAGCGACTCAACCGCTCGCAAATCTGGCAAGTCCATCGACAACATTGAAAAAGCAAAAAAATTGTATTTTACGATTTTACTACTAATATTGTCGGTCTGGGTGTTCGGGTGACTTTGCGAGTCGTGTCGCGTCACTCTCGGAGGGCGATTCTGGGAGTGGGTACAGTCTGCCATTGCAGGGAGGGGTGGGCTGGCAGTGACGATGAGGATGAAGAGGAGGAGTTCGCGGTCAAAAATCGAACGGCGGTTTTTTTTTTTGTTTTTTTTTTCTTTGGCTTTGCTTTCGCTGATGATGCTTCACTCCTCCACTGACTGACGAGTCTGACTTTGTTGACTTTGCCTGTGATTCACATGCGACCTCCTCGTGGGGCTGTGCATGCGGTGTCGTACCGTGTCGCCTGTCGTTGTTTTTGCAATCCGGATTTTCATCACATCGCATCAGCTCAAGAAGCCCGACCAGTACGCCTTCCTCAGCGTCAATGACGAGGGCGACATCGAAGACCTGGTCGAGGACTCGCAACTACTGCGGGATGTGCGCCTTTTCAAGTCGTTCATCAAGATTGCAGAGCGACGCGGCGGGCGCGACAAGGAAGACAAGCTCATGGAAGCTCACATTGCGACAGTACGTTCCTCCCGTCCTTCGTTCTGCGATGATCAAGCTCAGTCTCATGCTTCTAACACGTTGCACTGTTCGTTCGTTCGTTGCCAGCTTATTGGATCCACCGTCAAGCACTTTGACAATGCTGCTCTCGACGCAGAGGAAATCCCTGCCTTCCGCAAGAACATGATTTCCGTCTGTCAACAAGCCAGCGATGAACGCGCCATGCTTCCGAAGGTGTGTAGTTTGATCGAGGTGTTCTGCTTTTCGTTCTCTCGAGGGTGCTGAAGGCCTCGAAGAGAGTGAAGATTTTTGCCGTTGTGTATCGTCCAGTTTTTTTTTTTTTTTCGATGTCGCTCACCACCAGGCACCTCTTTCCCTCCCTGCCTCCCTCTTGTCGTCGTGCTGTCCCGTTGTGCTTCTGCTTCTTCTTAACACACAGGAACTGTTGAGCTTGGCCCCGAGTGTCGACCTCACTGAAATTCCCGCTCACATCAAGAGCAAGTTGAAGAGCAACGGCACTTTGTTGGTCAACGTGTGGGTGCTCAACCCCAACCACAACACGTACACAAAGTTTACGCTGCCGATTGAGGCGGAGAGCACGCCGGAAAAGCTGGTCGTGATGGGCTTGCGCAAGGCTGAAAAGTCGCTCAACCTGCCGTCGTCCGAGCCTGCCGAGCATGCCATGAAAGTCCGCGGCCGACAAGAGTACCTCTTTGGCAGCTATCGGCTGATTGACTACACACATGTGCGCATGTGCCTGGCCAAGGACCTGTCCCTTGACCTGACGCTGATCAAGCGCGAGGATGTGCTGGCCACCATTCCTGAGACCACCTTCCAGCTGCCGTCCTGGTACACCCATGCTTCCGTGCGCGCCCCCGTCGTTTGGCAAGACGACAATCTGGACATGTCTTCCAAGGTTCGTATCAAGATTGTTGGCTCTGGCAACATTAATGCTGGAAATGTGGACGGCTTGTACATCAAAGGTATGCAGTCTGTCTGCGATTCGTTGTCCTCGTGCTATTTCACAAGCACGGTTGTCTCATCTGGTTTGGGCTCGTGCTTTTTGAAACGACCAGCGGGCCTGTATCACGGCGGTCAGCCAATTTGCCCAACCCAGCGAACGGCAGCGGTCGCCCCAGTCGCTGATCCGACCTGGAATGAAGAGCTCGTCTTTGATATCTCTCTTGAGGATGTTCCCAGGGTAAGGGCTGGGATGTTGTTCTTGTAGATGGTTCATTCTCGCTGTTCGGCCCCCCTTTTTGCTGCTCGCTCACCTCGCTCACACTCTCGTTCTTCCAGGATACCCGAGTTTGCGTCACGATTCACGGAATGTGGAACACGCAAGTGACGGAGAAGGACATCCGCCGCCCGAGTGTGTCGGTGCACGAGCTGCTTCGACCCAAGGCGACTGTCAACGATACCATTTCCCTGTATGCCTCCAAGCGCGAAAACCGCGTGACCATGGCGTGGGTCAACTGCACGCTCTTTGATTTCAAGGGCGACTTGCGTGGCGGAGAGATGACCCTGTCGTGCTGGCCGTGTGATCCCGACAAGGCGCAAGACAGCGGAAACCCGATCGGCACAACCCTTCCGAATCCCGACCGCAACACGGCTCCGTTCATCAACTGCGCATTCACCAACGTCGACAAGCCGACACCCGTCCCTCCAAGCACCGTGTCGCCGCAGTTGGCTGCTGAGCTGGCCGAGATCAAGCAAAACAAGCCAGTGCCCGAGCCCGCCATCGCCAAAGATGCAGAGCGCCTGCAGAAGATTGTCACGCGTGATCCCCTCGCGCGCATGACCAAGAAGGACAAGGCGCTGGTCTGGAAGTATCGACTTTACCTCCGAAAGGACGCGAAAGCTCTCCCCAAGTTCATCCGCTCAGTTCCCTGGAACAAGTACGAGCTTGTGGCCCAAGCACATGCTCTGCTCGAAGTGTGGGAGCGACCCACCGCGGAGGATGCCCTTGAGCTGCTCGATTCTGAGTTTGCCGACGCGCGCGTGCGAGCTTACGGCGTCGCTTGCCTGGACAAGCTGAGCGATGACAAGGTCATGACCTACCTCTCCCAGCTCGTTCAAGTCCTCAAGTACGAGCCTTACTTTGACTGTGAGCTTGCACGCTACCTGCTGCGCCGGGCGCTCCGCAACCAGCGCATCGGCCACTTTTTCTTTTGGTACTTGCGCGCCGAGATGCACCTGCCTGACGTGGCTGCGCGCTTTGCGCTCCTGATCGAGGCGTACTGCCGTGGCTGCGGCAGCCACATGAGCATGCTCGCCCGTCAAGTCAACGCGATGGACAAGCTGGAGGGCATTGCCAACCTGATCAAGCGCAAGGATCTGGACACACGCGAAAAGAAGTTGACTCTGCTTCGTGCCGAAATCACCTCGACCACGCTCCCGACTTTCCAGACGCCGCTCAATCCAACGGTCGTCGTGCGCAAGCTGATTCCCGAAAAGTGCTCGTTCATGGACAGCAAAAAGTTGCCACTGTGGCTCGTGTTTGAGAACGACGATCCCGACGGCGAGGACGTTTACATTATCTTCAAGGTCGGCGATGACTTGCGACAGGACATGCTCACGCTGCAGATGATTGCCCTCATGGACAACCTGTGGCAGAGCGAAGGACTCGATTTGCGCATGATCCCGTACGGCTGCCTGTCCACGGGTGACAATACCGGCATGATCGAGGTGGTGATGAACTCGAACACGGTTTGCAACATTCAGAAGGACAAGGGAGGTGGCGCGCACGGAGCCTTCAAGGACGACCCGCTCTACAAGTGGCTGGTTGAGAAAAACCCGGACGAAAAGGCCACCGAGCGTGCTGTGGAAATGTTCATGCTTTCGTGCGCGGGCTATTGCGTAGCCACCTACGTGCTCGGCATTGGCGATCGCCACAACGACAACATCATGATGAACAAGAGCGGACAGCTCTTCCACATTGATTTCGGCCACTTCCTCGGCAACTTCAAGTCCAAGTTTGGTGTCAAGCGCGAGCGCGTCCCGTTCGTCCTCACCCCAGACTTTGTCTATGTCATGTCTCAAAAGGAAGGCACCAAGGGCGAGCGCTTCCTGCGCTTTACCGATCTCTGCGAAAAGTCGTATCTCATTCTGCGTCGCCATGCCAACTTGTTTATCAATCTGTTTGCCATGATGATGTCGACTGGCATTCCGCAACTGAGCTGCTCGGATGTATGTTCCATGGGGTTTTTTTGTTGTTGTTTTTTGTTTGTTTTTGGGAGGTGGAGGGGCAGGTTGGTGCGGGATTTGCAGCAGCGAGTGAAATCTGACTGATTGATTGTTCACTTTTTGGGCTTGCAGGATATCAACTACCTTCGAGACGCTCTGCGGCTTGGCTCGTCAGATGAGGCAGCGGCCATCGAGTTCCGAAAGAAGATTGACGAAGCGCTCGCCAAGTGCTGGAGCACCCGTCTGAACTGGACCATCCACGGCATGGTGCACTGAACACTGGAGGTGGTTGTGTCATCGTTTAGTGCTGGATGCTGCTCGTGTATTGTTGATAAATAATTCAAGTGCATGGTTTCTGAGTTTGGAATCGCATCAACCTCGTCATCACTTCTGCCTTATTCTGAAAAGAAAAAGTTTACAGCACGATTCACATCAAAGTTGGCCGCGCGAAGGTGATGCTCAAGACGAGCGGCGGGCACATCTTCTCCAACGATTGCTTGCATCTCAGCCACAAGGGAGGAAACGGCCACGCCATCATCCACTGAGATTGTCTCTTCTGGAAATTCCAATTCAGGCGGCTCTGTCCCGAACGAAGGGACGACCAGGTTGCCCAGAAGCTCCGCTTGCTTGATTTGTTCATCTCGCTCCTTTTGTCGTTGCTGGAGTCAGGTTGGCCGCAGAACGACGTCGGCAAAGCGAATGCAAAAAGGTCAGCAGCTCAATCAAATAGCACCGCGGCAACAAGCACTCCACTTGGCTTTACCAAAGCAGCTTCCAGGTGTTGCTGATGCTGGACAACACGGCGCTGCAACTCGGCAGCGCAATGAGGATCGAGTTCTTGAATGTCCTCTTGCATGATAACGTCGCCATGAGAAACGATAAAGTCCATCGCGGCGGCCTGTTTACAAGATGAGAGACGATCCAAGTGAGATGTTTGTTGCTTGTTTTGTTGTTGTTGTGATGATGATGGTGTTGTTGCAAACCTGTAGCTTGGGGATGGAAAAGCGGTCTGCGACCGTCACAAGAGCAATGGCATTGTCCTCGTCAATGCTTTTCAGCAAGTACTGAGTGCAAGTCTCGCGCACAAGTGGCATGGCGAGCCGCTCTGCCAACTCTAGGAGATCGACGGCAGCCGTCTCGGACGTGGACAGGTCGAGGTCGCCAGTGTAGAGATAGTTGAGAAACAGCATGAAGCTTTCTGGAGGGATGTCAGGCATCGAGATTTGACTAGCAGCGGGCAGAATGCAAGCAGAGTCAGCGGAAAAACCAAACGCATTTGTTCGCAATAATGTCAGATGCGACTGCTCACCGATTCAGCGCTTCCTGCATGCCGTTTGTCAAAGCAGCATGAATCCACTCGCTGGCTGAGGCAACGACGACTCGATGGGCTGGAACAGCGGAGCCGTCGGACAACACAAAAGACATGTCGCCAGTGGCGTCCCTTTCAGTGTACAGCTGCTGCATGCTTGAAAGGAAGGAGATGCCCACGTCGTCGACCAGCTCTGGAGGAATAAAAAAAGGCCATTCATGGCGGATGAGTGCGTGAGAACGACTGTACTTTGGGTGACTTGTCAACCAGACGAGAGAAACTGACCTTCCTCGACCATTCGGCCAGTGCTGTCCGCGCTGGTGGAGGCAGCGAGCGCATCCATGCTGTCGACCTCGCTGGCACTTAGCAAGTTCAAGGCCACCAGTTGCATGTCAAACTCTTTGGACTGCACTTGATCGCGGAGGCGCTTGATAAGCGGTTGAACGGCCTCGGGGTGCTCAATGAACTGGTTCAAACCCATGGAAACGCCTTGGGTGGTTGCCGAGATGAGCTTCTTCAGCCGAGAACCGCGCAATGACTGGCATTGGAATGACAGCCCCAATTAACAAAACATGAGAGCGACAGCAAGTGAGCAGCAAGTCGTCGTCGAAAACACCACAAAAGCACTCTCGTACCCGCTCAAGGTTTCTGGTAAACTCCTCTTCGTCATCCTGAAGCACGGAATCGCGCATGTATAACAGGGCGCCCGTAATGCGCTCTCGTTGCTTGGATGGATCTGCCTTCAAGACTTTGTCACACACCTTTGGGATGGCTTTCAAGTACTTTCGAAGGCTTTTGAATGCGGACTTGAGCTTGGCGTAGGAGCGGTACTTGGCAAAGACTGACATGCTCCGCAGAACGCCTGATCGCTCCGAACGACCCGCGGCTGAGGACGCTTCAGCATGCTTTCGCTTTCGATTCTGAGCCTCAGACTGCTTGATGACCGAGGCCAGTGTGCGCAATCCGACACCCAGGTCCTTGGCAAAGGACGAGATGCTCTGCAAGGCTTGCACGACGTACGGCTGCAGCGACGTGGGCAGCGCGACCGACGAGACGTTCTGCTGTCGCAAGGCGGTGGCGAGCTTATGCCCAACTTCAAGGTTGATGCGATTCAAGATTGCCATGCATCGCAATGCCCACTCTTGCAGATTCGTATACAGCACCTTCTGTTGCTCTCTGCTCAGCGACGCTCGACGACGACCAAGCACGTCCGCGCCCCGAATGAAGAGCAAACCAGCCACGCACAAATCCGCGCCATGCTGCTTTGCAACGCCAAGCACAATCTCTGGACGATCCAGAGACACTTCAGGACGACGCGCAGTAACCAAGATTTGCTGAAGGATGGCTTCGATTCCGTGCGTGTATGTCATGACCTCTGTGTGGAGCATGAGAACAGTCAGACTTTTTTTTTTTCTTTTTTCTTTTTCTTTTTGTTTTTTTGGTTTCGATCAAACAGAAACCCCCTTTTCGCCAACCCTGCAATCGCGGTACCTGCAAGAACGGCATCATCCGTAAACAGCTGCACGCACTGGGCTTCAAGACGACGGAGGTGCAGCGCCTTTGCAAGTTGGGAAAGAGGTCTTGCAACCTTGACGAGCTCTGGCGGCGCCGTGTCCGTGTACAAAAAGAACAAGAGCGCGCGCAACACTCCAGCATCAAAGGTTGCAAGCCGAATGCTGTCCTTTGCCGGGTCTTTCATCATGCCAACCAGTTCAGGACACCGAAGTTGGAGAATCGCAGAATGCGCCTGCAAAACAACTCCGTCGCTAGCTTGGAACGAAATGTCACAAAAGCTCGCGTCCTTGAGAGCCCGCTCGAGTGAAAAGGTCGAGTGCTGTCGTCCTGGCTCCTGTATCGCAGCCAACGCCCACATTTCGAAAAGCAACCAAAACGGAATTGGGGGATCACGTCAGAACGCGAAAATGCAAAATTCCAACATGCAAGATAAAAACCAGCTCGTCCGTACCCGAACCAAGACCCAATGCATGCGGACTGTGTCAAGCAACAGGACTTGATCACCCTGCTGCACTTCAAAGACCATGGCTCGTTGGTCGGACGATAAAAGCGTCAACAAACTGTCGTCTTTGTTGCACTCGTAGTTGACAAATCGATGCAGCTTGAGAGGTCTGAGCGCGTCGCGCGACTCTGGAGGGACGACGATTCTGAGATCTCCGTCGGCCTCAAAGGTCAGAATCGATCCCTCGAGCAGCAGCAATGAAGCGCTGGAAATTTCGAGCATTGACTGGCCATCGTTGGAGCCAGCGGCTTGATTGCTTGATCCAGCAGCAGCATCAGCAGAATTAGCAGCATTAGCAGTAGAATGATTGGTGTCCAGATTGTCGTTGCCTTCAATGTCGTCAAACTCGTCTTCGTCGGACTGATCGTCCTCGTCCTCATCGTCGTCCGAATCATTCATCGTCGTCGTCGTCGTCGTCATCATTATCGGAATCGTCCGATCCACTGTCGCTGGCGCCGTAGTTGGCAGTATAGCTTCGACTTGAACCTCGAGCTGCTCGACGGGGCAACTTTGGCGTTCGAATGGCTCGATTGACAAGCTTCTCAGCATTGTTGATTTGCTCGTCAATGGTCGGCAAAGACGACAGCCGGCATTCTTTGAGCTGCGAAATCCAGTCAATCAAAGTAGAAATTCAAACGAAAGGGTGAGGCAAGCAAGCTTCAGACGTAAGGGTGCATGAAGGAAAGGTGCAAAAGGGGAAGGAGGAGGAAGGCGAAATTGAGGCAGGGTCAATGACTGAGACGAGACCAGAGTGGTGCGCATCCAACGCCAAAGGTCGGACAAAGGTGTGCGTATGCATCAGTACATGTCGAAATGCATGCGAGTGCGTCGAAATGCGAGGCGGGAAGAGGGCAACCACGGCGGTCAGTAAGAAGTAGGCGCCGCGCGAATCGGTCATCAGCGTTCACCGGCATTGGTGTCAATTTGAGACGCCCGCCGCCGCATCTCAATTCAATGGATGTGTACTAGTTTGATAAATGCGACTTGTAATGTGAAAAGCGGACGGAGCGCCGAGCGAGGCGAACGGAAGGAGAAGGAAAACAAACAGAGCTTGTCAAGCGAAACACTTGAAGAACGCAGACGTCATAACTACTCGCCTGCCAAGTACCAGTCAGCTCAAAGCCGTCGTCGTTGTTGTTGTCGCGGTCATCGTCGTCGTCTAGACCATTGTTGTTGCGGGCGTAATTGAATTCGCCACGAAACCGCATTGTCACAAAAAACTTGAAAACAAAGAGCAAAGAATTTGTAGACTGACAACTCGGAACGAGCTTTCAGTCCCAATAGAATAAACATCAAAGGCACGAGCAAAGCAAACATCAGACAGTAGCTACAACAGAAAGTAAAAGCAGATAAACGAAAAAAAAATATCGAACGACGCGTGTCTGCTGGAAAAGATCAAGCCTCAGCACGCTGGAGAAAAGCATGTCATTTGCTAGCACTCCAAGTTGAGCTGGACGGCACGATTGTTCAAGTGCGAAATCCATCTGCAAAGAATCCACAGCGTACAAACACGGATGAGCAAGAAGCTTTTCAAATGGAGAGCCAAAAATCCAACGCCTCTCCCTCACTGTTGCATTTCACTGTCGCTGTCTGCAATCAGCAAGAACTGTCGAGCTCCAGGTTTGGACAGAGTAAACTGGAACGGTTTGCCACCGGTCGTGGGTTCAGCTCGATACCCTTGCAGTGCAACCGCTCCCAATGCGACTTGGTCCTAAGTAAAAAACAAAAAGTGAACAAAAGTGTCAGATCAGGCTCTCATCTGGAAGGCGCAAGACCAGATGCGCATCGAACACATCCCCCAAAGAGAGAGAGAGGCGCATCGACCAGCAAAATTCACTCACCACAGGCAGCTTGTAGTAATACAATGTGTTGCCCTTCATGATAAAGTAACGCCTGCGCCAGTTCTTGGGAGTAAATCCAGAGCCGCCTTGCTTTTGCATGTAGCCAGAGTGGTCTGGGTTTCGAATCGACTCGGCGGGCACATTCACATTGTGCGTAACTTCGTCTTGCATCACATCATCGCCAATTGTTTTGACGCCGGTTGAGTCTTCAAGAATGGTGTTGTTCAATGTTTTCATCCATCTGCGCAAATGACCAGCATGGTGGTGAGTCGCATAGGCGGTGGAAAGTGGGAAAGCGGGAACTCGGGCATTCAACTAATAATTGTTAAAAAAAATTGAAAAAAGAAAAAAAAAAAAAAAAGAAGCTTACAATGCTCGATCCTCCTCGTCGCCTGCAGCGAAAAAGTAGGTACGGGCACCAGGTCGGCGTGCCTGGAAACCATACTTCATGTTGATTTCACCCTCGGACGCCGGATTGATGGTGTAGCCAGCCAGAATGAGAACGCCTTTGACCTCTGGAGTCTGGAGCAATGAGGAACAAGTGAGCAACGACGAATCACTCATGTGCCTTCGAAAAAAAGACGAATAGCCATCGGCATGCGGGAAGGTTTGAAGCACGTACATGCTCGTCGGGATAGTAGTAGAGGACGCGTCCACGCAGAACGAAAAATCGGCGCTTCCAGTTCTTTGGCTTGAGGCCGGTTCCTCCTTGCTTTTGCAAGTAGCCTTTCAATATCACTGGCACTGCAGTACTGGTTGTCAAAAAGAGAGGAATGAGAGGAGTGGAGAGAGAGGAAGTGAGCCAGGCAGTTGCAAAACGAGGACGCAAGCGCTCAGTCAGCAACGAAGAACAGTGCGCCTTTGCAATCAATCCATCAAGCAAAGGAGAGTAACGGTGTTACATGTTTTGAATGTCCTTGACGGTGCGAGGATCCGTGAATGTGTTGCGTCGGCGGTTGTGGTCGACGTAATAAAACTCGCCGTCCTCCAATTGGGCCTACAACCAACGCAAGCACAGCATCCGAGCCAGAACAATGTGAGCATGCTATTTGTGAGCATACAGCAGCCTGTGACTCTGTGGTGTGGGCTTCAGTACACGGGTCATGACGCTCGTTTTAGTCACGTACCTGCTCCCAGCCATACGGGAGCGGACCGCCGTCGCCGAGCGCGATCGCAGCAGCCTTCCGGCGGGCAGTCTTGACGTCCTCTGGCAGCAGGTGCTCTGGGATGGACCAGTGGGTGGTCCGCGTTGTGTGATCAACGTAGAATGTTCTGCCGTTGCTGGTGACTCCGCGCTCCCATCCGCTGGGGAGGTGCTCGTCCGAATGGCTCATCTCGCAAACAAGGAACAAGGCAAGCAAAGAAAACAAGCAGAATGGCGTGCGTGTGCGTGTGTGCGCGCTTTGTGAAGGCGGTTTTGTGATTCTGAAAACCGAGGCACACAAACAAGTCAATGGAAATTCAATTCAACGCAATTCAACTCAAATCGTCGTTACAATAGAACAACAGCAAGAACAAAAGAGGAATGAAGCGAGCACCCATCAGAATTACAGAATGACGGCGAATGCTCAAGTTCGATTACCACTGAAGTTAGACGACCAGAATCACGGACTTGTGAATCGCTGTGAGGCGTTGATTTACAGCTCGGTGTTCCGCAGCTGAGCCTGAAATCACTACTGAAGCGTATGAAATGAAATGCGAAAGTCATCGCGTTTACGAATGAATATCGTGCAGAACGAGGGGGAAAGACCGATGAAGGTTTGTGCCATTGAATTTCACTCTTCTTCAATCCTTCTCGTGATTTGCAAGTGTTCTTCATTCCTTGTCATTGTTTCCTTCCTAGGATTTGTCGCTGAAACGCAGTCTCAGTTTTTTGTTCATTCAATGCTGTCTTCGGTACACAAAGAAGCAAATTCTCAATCGCATGTCCTTTTTTTTTTTTTTTTGGTTTTTTTTTTTTTTTCGCTTTTCCATGCTTGTTTGCTGCCGTTTTGGTTTTTTTTTTTCTTTCTTTTTTCCCCTCCGCGCCCCACTTGCAGCAATGGCATTTTTGAGCGTTGCCTGTTTGCCGAGTGAGGATGGGATGTACCAAAGAGTCACAGTGGAGCCACAGTCACTCTGAAGCAGGCGCTGGACTGGACAGGACAGCTGGGAAGCGAAACGAACGGGCCACACACACACACGTCCTGCCACGATCACGGGCACTGCAGTCGCCTGCTGTGGGGCTGTCCACCAGCTGCCACCCGGCGTGCGTTGGTTTTGACGTTGGGTCAAACGGGTGCGTACTTCCCATCGACGTCAACAAACGCCGTTTGGCTGAAGGGGGGGGGGAGAACGAGACAGACAAAGGCAACCCCAAAAAAAAAAAAAAAAAAAAAAATTCTTGTTTTCTTGTTTTCTTGTTTTCTTGTTCTGTTGTTCATTTCCATTGCATTTCCATTATTATTATTGCCTGGGTATTGTTCGATCATCATCATCGTCATCATCGTCTTCATCGTCATCGTCAATGAATCCGTGTTTTGCTCACTTTGGACGTATGGCCAATCCACTGGTCCAGATTGCTCGCTCTATCAGCGCCTCGTCGGCCGCTCGCTCTACCGCTGCCGCTGCTGCTGCTGCTGTCACTGTCGTCGCGACCCCTTCGTCTCGCAAGATCTCCGATGTAACACACTGTGGCGTAATAACTCGCGAAAGGCTGGCTCGCGAACCACGCTGACAAAGGGTCGTTCGTTTTTGTTGTATCAGTTCTACGCCGGCCTCAAGGCGAGCGATCCCGAGGTGTACGACCTCCTCAAGCGTGAGCATGACCGCCAAATCCGCGGTCTCGAGCTGATCGCCTCGGAGAACTTTACCTCTCGCGTGAGTCGTTCTTGATGCCAAAATGAGATGATGAGATGTTGTTGACTGATTGATCTTTGACGCTGTGGTGTGTGGTGTGTCTGTGTGTGTGTGGCGGGCGGGGGGGGGTGTGCGAATTGCAGCCTGTTATGGAGGCGCTTGGCAGCTGCTTCACGAACAAGTACTCGGAAGGTCTCCCTGGCGCTCGGTACGGCTGCGACCTTGATTGATCACTTTCCTCGAGTCGCTCATTTTGCTTTGTGATCGATCCTTGCACCCCCTTTTGCTGCTTTCTGTTTGTGCTGCCAGTTACTATGGCGGTAACGAAGTGATTGATGAGAACGAGCGACTCTGCCAAAAGCGCGCTCTCGCTGCGTTTGGCCTGAGTGAAGACAAGTGGGGCGTGAACGTTCAGCCGTACTCTGGTACGAGATATCCGTTTGGACGTTTTTGGGTGTTTTTTACCCGCAAAGGAAGGGCAGGGTACTTGGAAGTCTCAGACCTGTGCTTGTACTAACGTTGCTCCCTGCTTGCTGCTTCTATGTGGATAGGCTCTCCGGCCAACTTTGCAGCCTACACTGCAGTGCTCAACCCGCACGATCGCATTATGGGTCTTGACCTGCCCCATGGTGGACACCTTACTCACGGCTACATGACTCCCAAGAAGCGCATTAGCGCCACTTCGATTTTCTTCGAGTCCATGCCGTACCAGCTCAACCCCGAAACGGGCGTCATTGACTATGACAAGCTTCAGGTGAGCCGCAGAAAAAGATGTGAATGCGTTTGATTGTTTGAGTCTGCTGGAATTTGGATTGCTCACAAGCTTGCTTGTTGTTGTGGTGGTGGTGGTGGTTGTTGTTTTGTTTTGTTTGCTTGTTTGTTTGACTGTTGCTCTTATCAGGCCAACGCGCGTCTCTTCCGCCCCAAGTTGCTCATCGCTGGTGCTAGCGCCTATGCTCGGCTGTTCGATTATGCTCGCATGCGTCAGATCGCCAACGACAACGACAGCTACCTGCTCGCTGACATGGCTCACATTTCTGGTCTTGTTGCTGCGAAGGTCATTCCGAGGTAATTGCCGTGAATGTATTGAGGGTTGGTTTGGAGAGCTATGGGGGTTTTTTTTCTTGTTGTTGTTGTTGTTGTTGTTTTGAAAGTTTCGTGTTCTCTCTCTCATCGTTGTTGTTGTTGGTGGATGCGTCATGTTTCACTTGCCAATTTCCGCTTTTTGCTTTTTGTGCTACATAGCCCATTCGATCACTGCGATATCGTCACTACTACCACTCACAAGACGCTTCGTGGACCTCGAGCGGGCTTGATTTTCTTCCGCAAGGGCGTTCGCAAGACTGGCAAGACTCCAGCTGAAGGTGAGCATCTTGGAATTTTGTCGCTTTTTTTTTCTTTGGCTTTGTTGAGGGTTGTGTTTGTGACTCCAATTTCTTACATCTCAATCGGAATTAGACATTCGCTACGATCTTGAGGACCGTGTGAACGCTGCGGTCTTCCCTGCGCTTCAGGGTGGCCCGCACAACAATGTTATTGCTGCGATTTCCACAACTCTCAAGGAAGCCATGACGCCTGAGTTTGTGGCATACCAGAAGCAGGTCTTGGCCAACTGCCAAGTTCTTGCCCAGGTCCTCAAGTCGCACGGCTACTCGCTGGTTTCGGGTGGCTCTGACAACCACTTGCTGCTTGTTGACTTGCGTCCGCGTGGTCTCGACGGCGCTCGTGCTGAGGCACTTCTGGAGGCTGTTGATATCACAGTGAACAAGAACACCACTCCGAGCGACAAGAGCGCCCTGGTTCCTGGTGGCTTGCGCATCGGTAATGCCTCTCTTTCTCGCTCTTCGTGTGACGTTCATGTTATGGTGAAACCCCATTTTGTATTCACGCGATATTGTTTGTTTCATGTTGTGCAGGTACTCCCGCTATGACTTCGCGAGGCATGAAGGAGGCCGATTTTAAGCAAGTGGGCGAGTTCATCCACCGTGCTTTGGAGCTTGCGATTGAGCTTCAAAAGACTGCTGGCCCCAAGGTCAAGGACTTCAAGGAGGCGCTTAAGGGCAAAAACGCCGTCAGCGACAAGCTCGCAACTTTGCGTCATGAGGTTGATACCTTTGCCCGCAAGTTCCCTATGCCTGGTTTCAATTAACGCCCGCTTCACAGAATCTATGTGATGTTTGTGTCACGTCTCGTTGGGCCACCGAATAAAGCCGTTGAATGTCGAAGAATTGGTCACCCCTTTTGTCTCCCGTCGCAGTTAACGGTGCTCAAACGAAAAAGGAAAAAAACAAAAAAAAAAAAACAGTCCAAATGATTGCTGGATAGTTGCTCCACCCCCTTTCTCCTGCGGTAGCCAGGTTTTCCGGTGGGTTGAGTGTTTCGTTTCGTGACCAGATAACAAAGTTTTAACAAAGTGTTTCCACAACATCCTACATAGCCGATATTGGTTTCATGCCGTGAGTACCTGGTTTTGTGTTTTGTTGGTTTAATTGTTTGTTAGTTTGTGTTTGTTTGGTTGGTTGTGTGGTTTTGCTGTAATCATGTTAACATTATTTTATAGTTTTGCAGTAACAATACATGTAGTTGGGGTTGCGGGACGGGTCGAGTCGCACCCACCTGCAGTCTCGGAGCATGCACCAATTGCAGCGAGGTCAGCCCGTCCGCGGCTCCTCGCCAACAATCCCCGTTGTGGGCCAAGTCTGATCGCCAATACTTTGTTACTTGCCACTACAAGTGCTGCTTTGTGGACGCCTCGAGGATGCCGAGGGGAGTCTGCGTCAATGTCCTCGAAAACCTGGTTCGAGAAGATTCTCTTCGTTCGGTGCCCAAAGAATTGTATTCATCGCACAACCCTGTACGTCACAAATTAATACGTGCTATATCATCCTCCATCAAACGTCACATTTTCCTCTGTGGGTGTCGATGCTTAAATCCATTGTGTGTGAATGCGGTTGTGTTTGCTAAACAAAAAAATTCCCTCCATTTCTCGCTGTATGTCAGCATCATAACATGGCAACCTGTGTAATATGAGACTATGTAAACCTTTGTATCGATTTATCGAGAAAAGGGGTCGAAAAGTCGTGATCACACTTGACTCCCGGACATTTTTCCGATTTTCAATTGTTGGTTTTTAATTTTCTGCTTTAGTTCTCTACAACACGCCAACGTCGTGCTATTCGCTGACAACACACATCGATGGGTTTAAATTCATACAGTATTGTGCGTCCGAAGATGAAAACTGCAATATGAGTTTGGAAATAGAAACGGACGATTTGGTTTTTAAACATTTGAAATGGTACAAATTTGTAGTGCGATTTTGGACAAAATGCTATCGATTTGGGTTTTAAAAACACGAAACTGTCCAAACTGCGCCCGAGTTGGTTTTTGCCAAGATAAGGTCTGGTTTTTTGGCGCGAACAATTTGGAATAACAGCTTGAAACTGAAAATTCGCACTCTTGGTTGGGAAATTGCCACTTCATGTTTGGGATTTGCAAACACCCCCAGACGAACCTGCTCTGTAGCCATGCCCAAACGTCAAAACGAGGCGCAGGCCACCGAATCACGCGCGCCGCGGAAGTGTGTCCATCTAGAAGACCCCGAACGGAAGCGGATCATCGACTTGGCGGTTGATCGCGCCTTGCCTCTCGTCACGGTCGCCAGCATGCTCCATCACCCCATCAGCACTGTGTCCAACGTAGTGCAACGTTTCAAAGAGCGCGGAGAGTGGACGTCACATCACGTCAATCCCAAGGGATGCCGTGTGCTCACAGCGGAGCATCTCCATTTTCTCGAGATGGAGCTCGACAAGAACGTCAATGTGACCAATCAAGAGCTCCAGGACCTCCTCCTGACGACATTTGGCATTCAAGTGCATCAAACAACCATCGGGCGTGCCATTTTACGACAGGGCTTCACGTTCAAGCGCGTGTACGAGCAGGTCAAGGTGAAAAATTCGCCTGAAATCAAAGCCCAACGCAAGAAATGGGCTGAGCTCTTCGAGGCTTTCCAGACACCTGTGGATCGCTTGTTCTACGTGGACGAGAGTGGATTTAATGCGAATCAGCATCGAACGCGAGGTCGATCTCGCAAGGGCGCTCGCGCAATCGTTCAAGTTGGCAGTATTCGTGCAGCGAATTTCACGCTCATTGCAGCGATCGGAATGAACGGCGTTGTGTTGAATGAGATCCAGCTCGGAGGCGTGACTGGCCATGTCTTTGCGGAGGCGATGACGAAGCTGTTTGACACGCTCGAGGCAAAAAAAGCCGTCGACACCGCCGCTTCTGGCATCGCTGTGGATGAGCTCCCAGTGCAACAGCTTGAGCCCGACCTCCCCCTTACAAACGTGGTTGAGGACAGTGTGTCGATCAGTAATGCAGTTCACGTGCCACTGTCATGCCCCACTGGCATGCCTACTTACTTGCATGCATTACCTTGTATTGTTTGTCATGTCTCCCATACTGGGAATGGTTCATTCGTCAATATACCTTTATTCATGAACATTGCCTGACAATCGACGTACCTTTGTACTGACTCTGACAATTTGACGAATCAACATTTTGTCACCCAGTGTTCATCGACAGACTCTTCTCCCCGACTGCCACGACTGCTGCATCTCAAGACGCCGCAGTGATCACGACTCGTTTTCTCTCTCTTTCTGTTCTGCCACGTTTCTTTCATTTTTTTTTCTCATTTCATTTCATTTTTCTTCGCTTCCTTCTCTTTCTCCCCTCATTCCCACAGTGGAAAATTTTTTTGCGGATTTCGGACCAAAATTCGGTCAAAATTCGGAAAAACCGAATTTATCATTTTGTCGGTCAAAATTCGGTGCCTCAGCAGAGCGAGAATATGGCGATAGCTCGACGTCTGATTGGTCAGAAATTGCTTTCTTGGTCTCCTTTTATATTATTAAAAAAGATTTTTTTTAATTTTAATAAAATTTATTTTATTATTGGTTTCCATATTTGCACAAATCTACAAAAATCTCAGATCGCCCCCGCCTGCACCTTGCTGGTGCTTTGTACTTGCCTTTGGAGGGCGTGGCTCATAGAGCTAGTCTCCCCACTTTCTCCGGACGAGTTTTTTTTCCCCCTCCCCTTACCCCTCCCCAGCCCTCTGGCGCCTTCCCCTGACCTCCCCTCCCCCTCCCCTTGTTCCAGTAGCCATAAATAAAACTTACAATCACCCAGGAAGAGTCTCAGCTCAGTCAAAAATTTCATCGATCCAACCCTTTGGCCAGCCATTAGGATTGCGGTGGGTTGAGCGAGAATGATGCATTGGCAGTCAGACACCCCGCCCCTTGCACTCGCATCTTGCACCTATATCACGTCAAAGCTTGTAGCTCGAGCGACGGGACATTCAGTGCAACTGGATCGCTAGGCGGCTTGGTCAAAGTACCGAAATTTTGGACTTTGCAATTTTTTTCCATCTCAAATTTCACTCTGCTTTGCAATTTGTGCCTTAGGTGCTCCGTCGCTCTCGCTCTGCATGCATACGTTTATTCAACACACTAGTACCAAGTTCACGACGCATCCTCGTCAGCCATTGTGCTCGCCCTTTCACCCTGGGAGAAGATTGACGGTTGGGATGCAGCCTCGTCCCAGTCGCTCGTCTCGTCCTGGGCATCATCGTTGAGTGCACGACCGCTGCGCTTCCTCCGGGTGGTTCGAGGACGCTTGCACCACTTTGCGGTGCGATTGGGTGCAGCCCGCCGCTTCACGCTTGCAGCACCTCTTGCGTTGCTAGCCAAAGCACGGTCTCCCCAATCCAGCTCGCCATCATTCTCTTCGGCGTCCTCGTCGTCGTCGTCGGCTCCGTCCTCATCAGCATCCAAGCCGGCATATCGACGAGGTTGCTGCGATTGCGAGGCTGCACGGGTGGGCGGGCGCATCCGCTGGCTGATTTCAGCTCGCTCGGCCGCAAGGCTTTCAAAGAGCTGCCGCGCTGCGCGGGGAACTGCTGCTTCTGCTACAAGAGCAGCTTGAGCTGCCATGACTTGTCCTCGACTTGGGCGTAGATCCTGCACGGCCTTCTCAAATCCTTGCGGGGTGGGGTCTTGTTCGCACGATTTCTGCAACTCGCGCAGGCGCGCATTGGCCGTCGTGAACACTAGACCAGGCGTGTGCGTGCTGGGGTGAATTCTGCCAGCGCGAGAGACAAGCTGGGGAGTATGACCCTGTGATGCCCCAGCTGCTCTGGAGGCCGCGGCCTGGCGCTTGGATTGTGCAAGGGTGCGATTCGAGAACATACTACGATACGCTCGTTGGGTCGGCTGCGAATCTCTCACGTTGTACATCATCTTCGTGATAATGGCGATTCGTTTCTCAAACTCGGCGTCGTTAAGTCTCTTGCGCAGGCTTTCTAACTCTGTGCAGATGGTCCAGAGTTCAGGGTCGGCTGCTTGTTCTTGTTCTTGTGCTCCGACCGGCTGGCCGTTGTCATCGTCGAGATGGCTCTCGTGGCCGGATTCCTCGGGCAAGTCGCACGCAACTCCATATGTCGTGAGGGGAACGCTCATGGAGGGTGCACCGCTCACCAAAGCGTATGGGCTGTCCATGCCGAACATCGCCAAGTCTCCGAAGTGTTGAGCTGCTGCGCGAATGTGCACACAAATCATGCCTCCGAGATGGCCAGCACTGCAGAACCGAGAGTGCAGAGCGACTACGCAGCAGCGAGCTTTAATTTCTGCCAACTTGGCAGTAATTTCGTCCAGCATCTCGTCCGAGTCACTCAGCTCCCATCCAGTCCGGATCTCGTCCACAGCTGCCTCCAACTCTTGAGGGATGTCTTGGTTCAATGCAATGACGACCGCCAAGCCGAGGTCCTTGTCCAGTGGCAAAACTTTGCCAGTATCGTTCATCCGTTTGGCGATGACTTCATCTTTTTGCACCTTGGCACGCACAGCCCGGTTCATTTGCCAGCTCCCCTTTTGTGTTTTTGTGCAGTAATACGCGTTGATGTGGTGAGTAAAGGTCTGGAGAAGTGATGTGGCGTCGCGGTTGCGCAGCCCTCGAAACCATTTGTACTTGAGCGAGTGGAAGAATCTAAACAACGGCGCTGGGGGAGTCAGAAACTGCATACCCAAACACAAACTGGCAAAACAAATTCCATCACCAGCAGCAGCGACAGTGGCTCACCTCTCAACAAAATTGTTCGTATGCACCGGCATCAGCGTGTCGCGGTCTTGCCCCAGATACGCAATCGACCATTGTTCCAGCTCGCCTCGTGTCATCCAATGAACCCGCAGATACTCTAGCACTTTCTTGTTGTGCTGAACCATCTGAAGAGTGGTGGCGATCGCAGCTTGCACCTCGTCTTCGTTGGCAGCGCGTTGCACGTAGTGCAATTGTGCAAGCACCTGCTTGATGAGAGCTTTGTCGTCTTTCGCCTTCAGATGCTGGACGAGGTGACGCCGTACGGCTTGGTAGACGTGAAAGATGCAGAGACCAACCTTTGCTTCAGGAAACACGGTCTTGATTGCATTTCGCTCAGCATCGCATTTGTCAACAACAATGCGCTCTGGCCGGAAGGCACTGCCCAAAGTGTTTTGGAGAGTCGAAAGGAACACCTCGTACTCGTAATTGGTCTGCTTGGACGAAATCATGAATGCCAAGGGCACTCCCCGACCAAACTGGTTTGGTGCAACGATCGCTGTAGCGGTAACGCCAACGGTGGAGACCCCACCAGTCGAATCCATGCACACGATTTTGGGGCGAAGGCGATGCCAGATAGCGTGTTGGCACGGTGTGCACACAACGATGATGAGCGGAACGCGTTCGTTGAGATCGTGGCAGACTTTACGGCCTTTTGCCGGCGACGGGCAGCTGCAGGATTGAGGCTGATAGAACAAAACATCGCCATGATTGAATGCGCTGCCAGAACACGAAGTGTACCCGACAGGAGCATGGTTGTGCTGGCAGGATGCTGACGTTGACTGTAGATTCGTCGCCAACTCGTGCAGGCGAACAGCATCAGGCGAAGCACCGCCCTTGAGTGCGCGCACCAAGAAAGTTTTCACCGCAGCGTCGCTCGGAAACCACCGAGTGCTTTCCATGAGGACCTCCCAGGATGGCTTAGGTCGAGGTGCGGTCGAGACATGGCGAACAAACTCCAAAAGCACTTCTTCGCAGGAACGGGTGGCCAAGCGGTCAATCATCCAGGCTTCGAGTTTCTTGTGCATGCGCTGCGTCGTCGTCAGCGAGCCGTCACAACAAGCAGGCTCATGTTTGCCAGTACGGCGAAAAGCAACACCCACTCGCTGGTACCCCTCATCTCGCTGTACCACCAGAACATATCGTGTCACAGTGGAAAATTTTTTCCGAATTTCGGAAGAAAATACGCCGAATTTTGGTCAAACAGTTTTTTCCAGTTCTATCGGTGAAAATTCGGTTCAAAATTCGGTGCCTCAGCAGAGCGATGACGGCAATTAGCTCGACATCTGATTGGTCAGAAATTGCTTTCTTCGTCTCCTTTTACATTATTAAAAAGATTTTTTTAATTTTTAATAAAATTTATTTTATTATTGGTTTCCATATTTGCACAAATTTACAAAAATCTCAGATCGCCCCCGCCTGCACCTCCTGGTGCTTTTTACTGGCCTTGGAGGGCTCGACTGGCAGCACGCTGGGCACGCGTCTGATGTCGCCGAGGGCCACTTTGCTCGCCTTCCGTGCAGAATCGCATCTGTTCAAGTAGAAATCACACTTTAGTCACTGTTCTGTCCCGTGCACTGCATCTGAGCATCTGACGAGCAGTCACTTACGCGTTTGCTTGAACGAGACACGTTGTGGGCCGGCCGATAATCGCGGTTGGATCGCCTTCTCACCAAGCCACCGGTGCAGTTGTTGTCCTGACGCGAATCATCTTGATCATCGATTTCAGCGCTTGTTACACGATCGTTTGCCTCGTGGCTTTCGCTGTCGCTGGATGCTGCAGCGAGTCCACTATCCGACGAAGCAGGATGCGCGTCATCGTCCTCGCTCTCGTCTGCCGCCGCCAAGTTGGAGTTTGTGAGCAGGCTTTCGCTCGAACTGACGTTGTTGTTGTTGTTGCTGTCGTCGCTGCTGTTGTTGCTGTCGTCGTCGCTACTGGGTTCAGTGTGGAAATTGATGTCGTCAGTGGCGCCAGCTGAAAGGTCGATGTCGGGGAGGGGCTGTGACATGGCAATTGAATCGGCAACCTGCTGTGCTTCCACCATGACTGATTCTTGTGCATCTGGCGTTCGAGCTGTCGCGCGCTTTTTAGCATTGTTGTTCAGCCCACGCGCCGAGTCATACACCTATCAAACATCAGCTCAAACTTAGCATTTCGGTTGTAGTGCTTTCGCCGATCGAACAACACGCGTACCTTGTAGAGTACATCATTGACTTCATGATGCTTGTGCGATGTGACGAGTGCCAACAACCTGTTTTGGAACCAGAGCTCTACTCCCTCATCGGTGTCGGTTGTACCGGCGGAAAGTTGCTCTGGTGTTTTGGTTTGGGCGCTTTTGAGTGCTTGCCGTAGATGCTTTGGTAAAAACCACTTCGGATACCGAGCATGAAGATCGCCAAACATTCCCCGGACCTCTCTGACCCATTTAACCTCCCTATACTCACTCAAGCCAGCTTAGTAAATTGACAAACATCACACTAGATCCCATCATACACGACTGCTGTGCGTACTTGCTCGAGCTCACCTGCCGGGACTGAGACAACAACTCAGATTGCAGCCGCATTGTTTGGGATTGCAATTCTACGACTTGTGCGCGAAGCTGTGATATGAGCTGGTTGTTTTCTGAAACGATGGCCGCGTGCCTATCCTCTGCAGCACGGAGGGCCTGTTTGACTTGATCCAACTCAACCGTCGCCCGCTGAGCCGACTCAAGGGCGAATTTTTGGGTATCCATTATGTGCTGGACAAAAGGGGCTACTTATGATCATATTCCACGGTGAGGGCGGGAGTGCGAGACAAGAAGAAAATCATGTGATTTTGGGCGCGAATTTTTGAAAAATGCATTTTCCCGCCAATTCACGCCCTACCTGATTTAAAATTTGCATTTTCTCCCTTTCTATCGCGCTTCTGCAGTTCCTTCACATCTCTCTCGTGTCGTTCTTGTGTATCCATGTGAGATGAGTGTTTTCCACGCATCCGCGCAGTCGGCATCGATCTGCAGGCAGCAGAACGACCGCATCTTTCTTTTCTTTTTTTTTCTTTTTTATCGCGCCTTTTTATCTTTTTTTTTCTTTTCTTTTTTTTTACCTCCATCCTCTTGTCCTCCTGACATCAGCATCGCTTGCGTGCGTTGGCTGCTGCACAGTCAGAGAGAGGTAAAGCTCAATGACAGACAAGCACCACAAGCCGCGCAACGGCTGTGTTCGCCTTCTTCTTTGCTTTTTTTATCTTTTTCTTTTTGTTGTGGCACACTCACAAATGTCACTGCTGGCCATCTCGATCTGCACTCGATGTAGCACAAAAAAAATAATAAATAAAATAATAAATAAATGGTAGACTGAAGCAGTGCCAGTACAAAATAAAATTAAATTAAATTAAATTAAAAAATAAATACAATAAAAAATGAACATTGAAAATAAAAAAAATAAAAAACAGAAAGCGCAACCAAACAGGTTCGAACCCAGTTGCAAAAAGAAAGAAAAACCTTCAAGACGCTTGGTCTAGACAGCTCGAAGTCAACGATGGGCGAAATGGGATTCGATCGCAGGCATGAAACTACACTTTCTCATCCTGCTCCAATCGCGCGTATCTCGATTGGACAATATGTCATTATATCTCAGAATACTACAAGTCGAGAAAAGGAGCACGAAACACCGCGAAAAGACACGCAAACGGTGAGAACAAGCTCACTCGTTTCGTGTTATCGCCTGTCCTGTCGCTGCATTGGCCCCTTTTGCCCCGCTCGCTGCTTTGAATGATACTAGAATGAGCGGTCGTCCTAACGCCATATTGTATTATGGTGTGCGGGGCGCGGTTTCTGCCATTTTGAAGCGAACATTCGCGAAAAATGAAGCCGGCCGCAGGCGTTCTTTGAACACTCTGTTTCCATGCTGTTACTGCCACTGGACTGGAACTGCTGCGACATCACTTGAGTAAAACCACACGATAATGAATACTCACATCACCACCCTTCACAATTTTCATCGCAGGCCGGTATCAAGCTCGCGGAAGCGACACCCATCGCGACAAACAACGCTACAACCGATCAACGCTCGATTTTCAGCGCACACTGCACGCTTGACGTCAGCGTTGACTTGTATTACATTTGAATGATTTTTGACACGCACTGGTGTACAGTGAGGACCGAGTGCCGCAAGACTGCCGGCAGTACAAGTAAGGGAAGTGACCGATTTGAGCTCACTTTTGTTTTTATGTCAGAAGATTGGCTTTCATTTCAGCGGTGCATCTGCACCATGTGCGCAGCCGCCTTTCAAACGAATCCATGCAGTTCACCACAAGCTTGGATGTCGGATGCTGACAGAAAGCTTCATCATCAAATCCACAAAGTGCCGCTGTCAGGAGTCTGCCCTTGTTTGGACTGCACCAAGTTCGCCATCAAGCAATGGTCTTTCGGCAACAGCAAGTTCGAGAAACGTTCGCTGTCAAGTTTCTACGCACACTTGAAAACATACCCGTATGCAACCGTTGCTGATGTCATCCAGGCGTATCCCGAAATGCGACAACGCTTTGAGACGCACTTTCGAGAGGAGCAAACTGTTCCAATGGCGGTGGATTCTACTCCCCCTACTCCGCCACTGCACGCGTCTGAGCCAGCTGCCATGGCAGTGGATGACCATGGTGTCGACTACGATGATGGCTTCGGCGATGTCCACGTCGCTGACCACGGTGACGCTCCTCAAGCTCCTCTGGGAGCTGATGACGACGAATACGAAAGCGACTTCGAATTGGACGTCGAAGCGACTGACGAAGCGGACGATACCTCGAACAATGCCACAATCAATGACCCGAGCGAGACGTCAGAGGAGGCGACTGCAGCACCAGGAGCGGCCGAACCAGGAGCGGCCAAAAACAAAGGACCGACACCTAGAGCAACTCGCACAGCTGCTGCGTATCTGCAGCTTCTCCAATTCCTCAATGACATCAAAATCAAAGGCAAGGTCACGAAAGACATCTTCACTCAACTTCTCACGGGTATCCACAAGTACTGCTCCGAGATTAAAGCAATCTTGGATGATCATTCGACGAGATTGGTCTCTTTGTTCCAGACGTTTCTTTCGGACGTTCAACAGCGTACAAATGTCGACCCAATTGCGTCTGCGGGCGCCTTCTTAGTCCAATGTCAAGAGAGTTATCCTGTGATTCAAGGTAAGCACGTCGAATTGGTGGCTGGCGAGGGATTGCTCTCTAACTTTCGAATGTTCCAGTTGTTCCTCCGACCATCCATCGATTTACGAAGGCTCTCAGACTCGTCAATCTTCTCCCGCCAGCGTCACCTGTCGACAAGAACAATTATTTTCAACGCATGAAAAACCTGTACACTGATAGCGACCAGATCAAGTGGTACCGCGTTGGCTGTGCACACTCACTCAGTTTGAAGGAAGTGCTGGTATCCGAAAACGTGTGTAGCCAATGTGGTGCATTCGGAGCGAAGTGTTCACAATGCACCTACTCCGGTTGCTTTCGTGGTCCTGTGAACCAGCTTCTCGCGCATCGATGCACCAACACCAATTGCCCTGCCCGTTTCTCACGTGAGACCATCTACCCGTACATGTCGCTTATTCCGCGTTTGAGAAACATGTTCGCGGATGAAAATCAAGTCAAGGGCCTCGTCGACAGGTTCGGCATCGACTTCAGCGATCCGCAACAAGTTCAAAGAGCCTTGACCGACGATTGGCCGTCAACCATCACCAGGCACAACGACAAGCTTGACTCATTGCGCAGCTTCAGCCACCCGCTGGAAGGGCTGCATTTCCGTACACCAAGTCGTCGCACGTTCCTGTCAGAGTCTCCTTGGAACATCAGCCTTGCTTTCTTCTATGACGGGTAAAGCGCTTGAAAGACCATGATGGCGGGAATTGACCGAGAAAGGACTATAGACTCACCATCTCTGCTGGTTTAGATTTGACCCATATTACACCTCTTCCGCCAAGATGCATGTCTTGTGTTTCAGGCCCCTCAACATGAACACAGCAATAGCACATCGATTCATCTGGCCTGTCTCTTTTCTGCAGGTACGCTGCTGGCAAGCAACGTTATGCTCATGCTGGAGGTGGATGTTACTAAGATGGTCTTCTTGGTGGTGGTGTAGGGGAAGGAGCCGAAAAGTCTAATGCCATATTCAAGGCCCATGCTGCAAGAGCTCAAGACGCTCTCTAAGGATGGGGTGGTTGTTTACAACGCATTGCTCCAAAGGGACGTGATTGTGAAGGCTGAGCTGCACCTACTCACGGCTGACAGTCCAGCGCGAGCCAAAGTGCTGTCACTCGTGGCTCCCACTGCCTACAACGGTTGCTGCTATTGCCCAATGTCGGCCCTTGCCTGCAACTGCCGGAAGCACCGCGACTGGTCAAAAGCTGCAGCTTCCGACCGCACCCACTTGTCAGCAAACCAGTTCACCAATTTCAACTATGCTTTCGTGGGAAAGCTGCCCTACATTACGCCTCCCAACACATGCTCCATCGAGACCAGCTTTTGCTCGCTTGACACATTGCACAGCTTTATGCTCTGCAGTGGCAAGCGTTTACTCAGTCTGACTCTAGAATCGATGAAACCATTCGTTCACACGGGCAAAGGATCCGTGCTTAGGAACAAGAGGGCTGCGCTGCTTGGCAACGACACGGTCAAGATTCTTGAAGTAGACCTGCGCTTGGCCATCACTGTATGGCCTGCCTTTGTCATGCGAAAGCCTCGACTTTGCTCTGCACACCACAAGTCGTACACTGCCGAGGAGATGCTCAATTTTGTCCTGGTCTGCGGCAAGCACATCTTCCTGGGTTTGGTGGATGAGAGAAAGCAAGCTATCTGGTGGAACTTTTCAGAAATGACGCGGATCGCCATGTCCAAGGTGGTTAAGGTCGACCCCACGACGCTTGACTCGCTCAACAAACTGACTTCCAATACCATCGGAATCATCAGTGAGACGTTTGGGAACTGCAACGTGCCCATCACTACCCACCATCTGTCTCATCTTGCCCGGGCTTGCCAGCAACATGGCCCGCCTGCACATGTCTCGACATTTCCGTTCGAGCGCGCGATCAACCAATACGGCCGCCTCATCCGCCCCGGTACTCACGACGAAATTGTTCCCAGACTGGTGGCCAGAATCGCACTGCAGGTCAACCCTGTGGTTTCCTACGCTCCAGGTCGCAAGTTTGGGGTGCTGACGCGCTTGCGTGTCCCTGAAGAAACGATGGAAGCCGTCGTGGCGAAGCTGGCCAATAACGAGCACGACGCTCCTTCTGGCTCGGTCTACACGGAAGCCTCTGGTCTCCAAGCGGATG